TTGTCATATTGATAAAGTGTTTGCACAACAAAGAAAGTGTGTTCGTATTATCTCTGGGCTCTCTTATAGAGCAGACTGTAGAAACTCCTATAGAGCTTTAAAAATTTTAACTTTACCTTGTGTATACATTATGCAGTGTCTGTTGCACATTAAACAAAATCTTAGCCAATACAATGCGCATGTAGATTTTCACAATTATCCCACCAAACTTAACAAAAATCTTATACCAGAATTTAGCCGTCTTGAGAGATCCAGAAATGGTTCAAGGTATTTAGCCATAAAATTCTACAACTTGGTGCCAACTAGAATAAGAGCTCTTAATTTTCATCAGTTTAAGGCAAAAATTAAGAGTTACCTTATAGTGAATGCTTTTTTTTACATATGAGGAACATTTTACTTCCGATTTTAATTTGTTGTAATTGTCAACAGTTTAATTTAAACCAATGTATCTATGTTTTGTGTTTATATTTATGTGCATATTAACTATATTGACATATATTTTATTTTCTTTGACTTGTAAAAAATACTTTTGTATTAACTTATTACCAATAAACCATCTATCTATCAAAGAAAAGGATTGTTTTGAATAAACAATGAAAGAAAATTTTTATGACCGTTAACAAAAATCTAAAAACTGATCCTAAAACAGTTGTAAAGGCAGTATTATAAGAAAAGTGGTCTTTTCTTATTATACTGCCTGAAAAAAGAAAAACCAAGATCGGATGCTGCAAAACCTAAACATCTTAACATCGAGACTGCTAAATGATTAAGGAATTTGGTTCTTGAGAAAGATGAAAAAAATGTAATACCGACAATCAATATTATATAAAGCTAGTTCGTATATTACTATATACATCATATAATATGGTATATATATTCGGTTGGAAGAATTAAAACATAAAACATAAAACCACTGTACGCAGACGGCTCAAAAATACATTGGCGTTTAAATTATTTAGAAAAAAATCAAGAATATCAAGACGAAAAGCGAACAATTTATTATTTAGATGAGACATGGGATGACAGACATGATAACGCTAGCAAGTGTTGGACAGATAGTTCACTTGGGTGTCAGCTGAAAGGAGTACCTTCGAATAAAGGTTCTCGAATGATTATTGTGTAGTGTGGATCTTCAAATGGTTGGGTACCAAATGGGTTTACCCTTTGCGGAAAAAAACTAGCAAAATTTAGTGTAGATTATTATATTATTAAAATCATAGACGAATTTACAAGAAATGCGAAGAACATGGCAGTGAAATGCAATTTGGAATCCGCGTGAAATTCCATGGGTACACGTTTACCTTACAAGTTCGAGATGCCGTGAAGCCAGTTGTGATATCTATATTTGTTTTATTGGCTACGCCAAGGCATTTGACCGTTGTCAACACCAGAATATGGTCGCCGCTCTACAAAGAGTAGGATTGAATAAGAAGGACATTCGGACCATCATAAATTTATAATGGAACCAGCGTGCTCAGGTCAAGGTCGAAGACCAGCTGACCGATCAAGTGAAGATCATGCGAGGAGTAAGGCAAGACTATGTGCTCTCGCCGACTCTTTTCAACATATACTCTGAGGAAATTTTTACTGAAGCTCTCACAAACCTAGAGATGGGAATCCGAGTGAACGGTGAATACATTAATAATATCCGCTACGCCGATGATACTGTGTTGCTAGCAACCAGCCTAAATTATCTACAAGCCTTATTAGACCGATTGAGAACTATGAGCGTATCATACGGACCCGACCTTAATAGTAAGACAACTAAATTCTTGGTTGTCAGCCGTGCAAATTTAGATCCCGAGGCACTAATGGCAGGTAGCGAAAAGATCCAGAGAGTCGACAGATTCACTTACCTCAAAACTATCCTTAATTACGATTAAGAGATTAGATCCAGAATTTAAATGCCATGGTCTACATTTATCAAGTTGAGATCCAAGGCCTAATCATATACTCCCACAGAAATATAACCTTCGATGTGTATTTACCTATCCCGTTCACTGAATTAGTAAAGAAATCTATATTATATTCGGCAAAAAAATTTTACAACCATCTCCCTTTGCAACTTAAATCTACGACTTCTTTCCTTATGTTCCGTAAATTATAGTTTATTTTTATGAACGAGAGAGTAATTAGCATAATTTTAAATGGTACCTCCGACCACTCCATGGGCGTGCTCAAGATTAATTGAAAAATTACTTTGAATAATTGTAAAAAATAAATGAATTATTTCAGTGTTATAAAGTGTTGTGTGTATGTAAACAAAAGTGACCTCTTTTATCACACACTATATTAAAACTGACTGGCCTACATTAAAAAGGTTTTAAAAAATTCACATTTTTTTTAATTTTTAAAAATTACAAAAGAGAAAAAGAATTTTTAAAACCGTCTAAGGTATGTTAAATAGATGAATAAAAATATTAATATAAAACTTACAGCTACTTGTTACAAATCCAAATCAGATTCAGAAGATGAACTTTCAGAACTAAGATTTATAATAACTGGCTCGATCATTTTATCAGTAATATTGTCCAGCTTCCACATTTTTTTCCTCTTCTTTAATAGTGTGATTTACTGCCTTTTCCCAGTTTTCAGGTTTTACATTAATTACGGCCTCCAAAAACAACTGTTTAACGTCATGAATTTTAAAAGTGGTATTTTTTCTTGAAACTTTACTCTTTATCTGTGCCCATACCAGTTCAATCGGGTTTAATTCACAATGATATGGTGGGGATCTAAGTACTGTCATTCCACGATTTTTGGCAATTTCATCAATTTCGTATTTTTTAAATTTTTCTTTATGAAGGGCACATAACGAATAAAGTTCCTTTCTTATAGATCCGGGATGGTACGTAATATTTTTTGAACTCAGCCATTTCTGCAAGTCTTTTTTTAACCACTTGGTTGTGGGCAGTCCTTCTATAAGTCTGGAGTGATAACTTGCATTATCCATTACTATTACACAGTTCTTAGGAAGAAGATCTATCATTTGTTCGAACCATTCTTGAAAGACATGAGCGTTCATGTCTTCATGATAGTCACCGGTACGAGTTGATTCAAAAGTTAATAAACCACCTTCAACAAAACCGTCTGAACTGCCAATGTGTACTATTATCAGCCTGCGTCCCTTTCCTGATGGTGGCTTTCAACCAGTAGATAAGTTATTTACAAAAGCGTGCCTTTGACTTGTAACAGTTTCATCCTGCCAAAATTTATTTGGTGTATGACCCTCGTTGATCCATGTTTCATCAAGATAAAATATTTTTCTTTTTTGGTTTCTTATTTCCTTTATAGTTCTTAGAAAATGTCTTCTCCATATGACAATATCGCTTCTTTCTAATAAAATAGACTTTCTGGGATTCTTTTTCCAGCAAAAGCCTATTTCTTTTAAAAGTTTCCATAACGTACTTCGACTCATTTCTGGGTAATCCTTATCATCTCGAACTGAGACAAGAACTTTATCCAATGTTGGAAATTCTTGTCTAAAGAAGAATTCATGCACTTTCCGTCGAAGTCCTTCTTTAAAATGATATTCTATTTGAAATTTTGGTTTCTCTGGAGCATTACGTGGCATTTGAAAACTACCACATTTCTCTTCTTTAATAACTCTGTAAATCGTAGATTTCCCAACACCAAGTGTACTGCTAACTAACTCAACGGTCTCATCAACACTTTCACATAAACGTTTGTCTGTAAATGATTTAAAACAATTAAATATTAATGTTTTTTCATTAACTGTTAAAGGACCAATTTTTCGGCGTTTACACGGCACTTCCAAATTTTCCATAACACTAGTATACACAATAAACTGCACCTTGCAACTGAAGTACCTACTTTTAGTGAACTGTTAAGAATTTTGAATACGCCACTTGGACCTTCCTACAAAATGGAAAAACCCACTATCACATTTTCTGTGGAATAAGTTTAGAAGGTAATTATCTAGTCAATTACTGTCGTAGATTCCTGGAATTAAAGAATTAAATGTTGGATTGTTGAAACCCTTACTTCGTGGATTGCACTCATTTCAGATAAAATAAAACGTTTTATTTTATCTAAAGAATTAAACTTTATTTTGCAAATAGGTAGGTACTTATTAAACTTTTATTGGTTATATATAACCAATAAAATAAACATCTTACATTTCTTGCAAACTCATTAGTACCTGTTAACCTCCATCACTCCGACACTGGCAACCTTATTTAGGGATTAGTAACCCTCACAACTATTGTATTCTATTCTGCTCCAACCTTTATACCTGGTGGTCATACTCAATTTAAAATTGTTTTCCTATATACTTCTGTAAACTTGTTGACAAATATCTGTTTTTCATTGAGTCACCCGTATCAACAGTTTAGGGATTTGCATACATAATTTATTGTTTTATTACTCTCTCATACATAAAAATACACTATAACAAAATCCTATCTATTTGAAAGACCATAATATTATCCAGTGAAAGAGTTTCTTAACGAATGACTAAGAAATTACAGTACGCTTAGGTACAAAAAGTATTTTCATATATATTTGGTTATCACAATGCAATTTGCAATTTAGTTAAATTTGGAAATGGATTGCATATTTTATCTTTTAAATTGTGATATTGACGATTTATGTATTTTTAGTAAATTTTAAATTGTAATTGATATTTTTTTGACTTTTTAAAGCTTTTTCCATAAAATTGTACAATTTGCAGTGACAACAAAGCATATTTCTATTCTTAATATGTATAGAATGTTTTCAATGTTTGGAAAAATCCTAAACTTGGTCAATTTCTGGAATATCTTATTTAATAAGGAAGTTAAAAGGTTAAAATACGAGCCCCTATTTATTTATAATCGAATTTATTCCATTTGGCTAATAAATACTAAATATTTAGATAATCAGTGATTTTTTGTCTATTTTCTATTATTTTATTAAAATTTTGCCATATTTTCGACTTTGTTATTATTATCAATTTATATATTAAAAAATTATAAAATCAATGCTTTAATTATTTCTAGGTTGTTGGTCTAGCTCGGAGAGTAGACATGATGGACCAACTCAAAAAGAAGTTGACAGAAAAATCTGGTAAATTCTATCCGCTAGAATGCGATCTAAGCCTTGAATCAAATATTCTAAAATGTTTCGATTACGTATCAAAAAATTTAGGACCAATACATGTATTAATAAATAACGCAGGCTGTTTAACAAAGCAAAATTTGTGTGACGGAACAACTGAAGTTTGGAAAAGAGTAATTGATGTAAATCTACTTGGTATGTATGTGAATTTAAGCTATTTTTTATGTATAATGTATACATCATATCTTTTAATAATTGTTAGTTAATACTTTAATTTTAATAGTAAAAACTAGAAGAATCAGAAAATAAAATCGGCAACTTTTGATATGAAACACGAAACGAAAGAGGAGAAACATTGATGAACTATATGGAAACGAACGGTCTATATGCGATGAATACCTTTTTCAATAAAAAACCACAAGAAAATGGACGTAGATCGCACCCAATGGTTCAACAAAAAATGAGATTGATTACATCCTATCCAAAGAAAAGAACATAGTACAAGACGTTACTGTCATAAACATGATTTCCGTAGGGAGTGATCACAGAATTGTTAGAGCCAAAATCAAAATTAACGACAAATTAATAACGACAAGTCCGACAAGGCGATATAATTTCACCTAAACTGTTTACCTTAACCTTCGAAGATATAATAAAATCAACAGATTGGGAAAACAGAGGAATATGTATTAACGGAAAATAGCTAAATCACCTTAGATATGCGGATGATTTACTCCTGATCTCCTCGGAACGACAAGAACTGGAATTAATGCTGAATGAACTTTATGAAAAATCATTGCAAAAAGGCCTAAAAATTAACTTCAACAAAACAAAAGTAATGACAAACACGGAAGACCAAGAGGCAATAAAAATAAAAACAGAAAAAATAGAACAGGTAAATGAGTATATCTATTTAGGACAAGCAGTCAGAGCTAACAGAGAAAATCAAACAGCCGAAATATCGAGACAAGTAAAATGGAAATGAGCTGGACACAATGAACGTCTCCAAGACGGACGATGGAACAATTCCATCGGAAAGTGGCGTCCATACAATGCAAAGAGATCAAGAGGCAGACTACAGATGATGTGGAAAGATGACATCAGGAAACAAGGAGGTCCCACATGGCAGAGAACAGCTCAAGATAGGGAAAGATGGAGAGAACTGGGGGAGAACCTATATATAACAATGGAAGGATACAGAATAGGTTCAAAAAAAAACAGTTAATCAATAACAACTCCTAAAGAACACGTCCCCAATTAGCAGATAGGGGAATACAGGACCCGGTTTTGTAGACATATTTAACTATCTTTGTTATTTTATATTGGCCCTTCTTTTCCTTATTATTGTTATGTTTAATTTTGATAATTTTCTCAGTGGCGATTTCAGATAGTTTAAGTCTTGTTTGAGATGTCCCCTCAAACCATAACCTCCTTGTCTCAAAAATGAAACTGAGGGTAAAAAAGATAATACTCAGTTACTCAAGATAAATGAAATTCGTAATGAGGCTTTAACTTTGTATCAATCAAGAAATTAAGGAATTAACATTGAAAATTAAAAACACTGAGAATGTGAATATAATGTGAAGCAAAATCAAAGATTGTGTTATAAAAACACAGAAAGAAACTCTACAAAAGAATGCCGAAAAGCTTGGGTGACTCAAGAAATACTGGAAATCATGGAACAAAGAAGAAAATATAGAAACAAAAACCCAAATAAGTACAGAGAAAAAGATAAATTAATAAGGAACAAAATAAAATAGGCTAAGGAAGAGTGGATGATAAAAATATTCATCCAAGTGAAAGAATTGCAGGAAAAGCATGATCATTATAATTTACGTAAAAAAGTGAAAGAATTACATGGAAAATCATGAACAAATACACCTAACCGATTAATAGATAAAAACAATAAACCTATTGATAATCCAATTGAAACAAAACAAGCATCGACTAAATATATCGAAGATCTTTCATGGACACAAGAACGGAACCAACACAAATTGATAACGAGGAAAATCGAATAATATTAAAATCTCTAGTCCAACATGCTATAAACAACTCAAAATCTGGCAGAGCCCTTGAGCCAGATAAAGTTTATATCGTGCTGATTAAACTTATAGGTGAAGACAATTTATGTGCAATAACTATGCTCTTTAACAACATAATACAAACCTCGTGGGATACCTACAGAATGGCTGCTATCGACCTTTTTTCCGCTACCAAAAACCAAGAACCCCAAACACTGTAATGACTATAGATTAATCAACTTAATGTCACTTATTAAAAACATTTTTAAAGATTATACATGCAACAATATGCAGAAAGTGCGAAGCAGATATGAGTAATAGACAGTTTGGCTTTCGTAACGGCTTCGGAACAGTGGAAGCTCTATATAGTTTTACGACTCTTGCCCAAAAATGTCAAGACCAACAAAAAGATCTTTGCGTTGCGTTTATAGATTATGAGAAAGCTTTCGACAAAGTTAAACGTAACATTCTCATAAAAAGTCTAAAGAAGCAAGGACTTTACAAAAATGACATTAACATAGTGAGAAATCTCTATTGCAACCAACAGGCTGTGGTAACATTAGATGGAAATAGCACGGATACGCAACAGATAAATAGAGGAGTGAGACAGGGCTGTGTTCTTTCATCATTACTATTTTATAAATATTGCGAAGAGTCATTTACGCAAGCACTTAAAAACTGTACACAAGTGATCAAGATAAATGGTGAAAATATAAATAATATCCGTTATGCTGATAATACAGTCCTTTTTGCTGAAAAGTGAGACAGACCTGCAGACGTTACTAATCAGAATTTGTGATACTGGGGAACAGTTTGGTTTAACAATTAATATAAATAAAACAAAAACAGAAATTATTTGGTGAGTTAACAACAAAATTTTTTATTTCTAGTTCAACTTTGTAAGATATTTTGTATTTTTTAGAAGCTCTTGATAAAAATTGTAATCACAATTGAAAGCTCGAGTAAAAAATAGTCAACAAATAGCCCCTTTTATTGACTCCAACCCATCCAAAACAGTTTTATATATATATATATATATATATATATATATATATATATATATATATATATATAATTATTATCTTTTAAATGGATTATTATAAAATTAAATTTTTTTTGTTGCCTCTTTATTTATATGTTTTGTAGGTTTATGTGTAGCTACAAGAGAAGCCATCAAAAGTATGAAAGAAAATGAAATCGATGGCCAAATCATACATATCAATAGCATTACGGGTCATTGGAATGTAAGGATTGATGACCTCAATATCTATCCTGCTACCAAATATGCTGTCACCTCGCTAGCTCAAACTTTAAGAAAAGAGTTATCCAAAACAAAAACTAAAATTAAAGTGACGGTACGTAAAAATAGTTTGTAATATGACTTTTAAAAATGGTGCTGAAATTATTTGCCGGTGGTAGTCTAACACAGATATTTCAAAGATGGAATCCGCAATTAATCGTAATTAAAATTATATTTTTTAAATGTAATAGGTTTACAATTTGAAAATCTTTTTCAAAGAATTTTGAAATAAAAATTGCAAATATTATGTTTAACTCATAAATATTTATAATTTGACAGCTGTCACTTGATGTCACTTTTGGGTCTGAAAATTTTTTGAGAAGTGTTTTTGTACACTCGTATTCGTATTAAATTCTGATCTTTGTAAAAACTATTATTATGTTTGCTTTTCTGGTTTTTTTAACGTTTCCTTTAGAGAGTGAGTGCAATTTTTTCCCATAATCACATTGATTACATGAATCACATTGCATGATGCACACTTTATTGATCTTCAATTATTAAATCAGTACTTCCGGAAAAATGTGCCGGAGATACGAGGAATGCAGATACTGCATTATGAAAAGGCAAACCCAGACACTCTTTTTATAAGACAAAATCGGCAGAGGGTATTATGCCTTACGAAAAATTGCAAATGAAGAAACAACGAACAGGTATAATTTCTTATCAGCTTCCCATGTTTCAACCGGTAATTAAGAATTGAATGCAAAAAGTATGAAGATCTGATGAAACTCTTGCAATTCTTACCACCGATATACAATGATTTTACCTAAGCCTATCTCACGAAGCAAAGACTGGAAAGCCTTTAGCTACAGGTACTTTTATAGGTAATGAAAAATATGATACTCAATTTGGTAACAACGTTTATGACACAGATGACAGCAACTTGATCAAAAATTAACACAGAAACAAATACCAAAGGTTAAAACGTTCTTTTTGAATTATTCTATGACGTCCATTGGCCAGATTTTCAAAGTTTTTAGCTTAATTTGGTTTAAATCTCGTATAAACTAATTAGTTCGAAACTTTTTAGCGAAATTTTTATTGTTTAATTTTTATAACTTTTTTACTAATAACGATAAACGAGTTTTACGAAGTTTTATTAAAAGCTGAAACAATTACCTTTAGAATGAGGGGGTTTTGAAAGTTAATCGCAAGTAAGGAATCTAAGTTAGAAAAAGTCCAATCAAATGATTATTTTGCAATTATTTTTCTCGAACTTTGTTATAACTCTGGTTATAATAATCAAATCGAAGTTTACTAAATGCCACCTTGTCCAATGTTTCAAAATAAACAATTTTCATTTTGTTAAAATTAACTATCTCTAATAGGTTAGGAGATGCGATCATACAAAGAATAAATTTTTTAATAACAAATTATCTGACGAGTTTTAACAAAATTTTACAAAATATCACACGACACCTTTTGGTATCTTAAAAAATTAGTTGTCACACCCTCAATTTTTATCTTTAAAATTGGCTTAAAATAAACGAGTATATAGAAGGGGCTAAACCCTTTTCCTCTTACTGTATAATAATAATCCTATCTTGATAAGAGTACTGTTTTTCAGAGTCTAAGTCCAGGCCTTGTGAATACTGAAATATTTGCAGTGGGAGGAATGACAAACTATGCAGACAGTTTAGTACAAGAACAAGTACCGGCTCTCTCACCTCGGGATATTGCTGACGCAGTAACATATATTTTATCTACCCCTCCACATGTAAATGTAAGTATAATCACAACAAATGTAAATATAAACAAGATATGAGGGTATTTAAGACAAAAAGTAAAGGGTATCTTCTCTAAAATGTAACTTATACATCTTCTATGTCTTCATTTCAGGCTTTTGTGACATACTACAGTCTTGTTTCAGCTCTTGGTTGGATTTTATTGATTTTTTTTTCATTTGGCTGTATTATAATTGCTCAGATCCAATTTACTTTCAAAGTAAATTTATAAATAGTTTTTGAACAAAGCTTCCATTAGCATAGTAATAAGTATTACCATATCTATAATACACCAGTGGACCGAGTAAAACAGTATAACTATCTTGGAACAACAGTAAATGAACAATGGGATCACTCACAGGAAATAAAATGTAGAATAGAGAAGGCTAGGAGTGCATTCAATAACATGGCCAAACTCTTTAAAAGCCACAATCTTAATCTGGAGATAAAAGTAAGGCTCCTACGATGTTATATCTTCTCAATATTGTATTACGGAGTTGAATCCTGGACACTAACTGAAGCAATGGAGAAAAAACTTGAAGCCTTCGAGATGTGGCTATACAGGCGAATTCTAAGGATATCATGGACAGACAAGATAAAAAACGAGACCGTATTACGAAGAGTGGGCAAAGAAAGAGAGGTGATGTATACCATTAAAAGGAGAAAGTTGGAATATCTCGGACATATAATGAGAAACAGCACTAAATACAGATTACTGAAGGTAATCCTACAGGGTAAAGTATTCGGAAAGCGAGGAATTGGGAGAAGGAGAATATCATGGTTGAAGAACCTGAGGAAATGGTTTTCCACAACAACAACGAATCTATTTAAAGCATCAGTCAATAAAATAATTATAGCCAGAATGATTGCCAATATTCGGAACGAATAGGCACTGAAAGAAGAAGAATATCTATAAATAGCTCCAGATTAACTGACTACATGCCAAATCTAACCTACGAATAATCAATAAAATAATATAATAAATTAAGCAAAACTATGAACTAGGATAAGGTAGGCCTAGAGTCAATTGCCTAACATCAAGACAAATTTCCATTTGTCAGCGGACTGTCACATAATTTGAGTGATTTGTTATATCTGAATCTCTCTTTTGCTTGCCGTTTTTTTTTCCTTAATTGTTTTCCCTGTAATATTGCTATTCCTGCTTCGATGTCCCTGAGATTGATTTTTTATATTTTATTGGTATCCGTCTATTATCGTTGTTACCGCATTATATCTTCTTTTTGTTGGTTATCGTTCTTAATTTTATTGAGTACTTTAAGTTTTGGATTAGATATTACACACTACATGCAGCGCTAAAATCGGCAACATTGCCTTTCCGATCTACTAAATTGTAATTCTCTGATCCCGTCCGATACTTGGACAGAAAATGAGAAAACAAAATCCATTTTGTAGCACATAACAATTTTTGATTTTTGTTTTCATTGCGTATGCCGGTTCATTTCTTTTAACATAAACTCAATAAAAATACACTGAGCTTTATAAAGCGGTGCATTTGTATTGGTTTTCAATAATGTGAACAATTTTTTGGGGTTGAGTTAAGAATAAAAGCGCATTTCTTTAAAAAGATAAAACAAAAAATATACTCTTATTGAAAATAAAAAATAATTCCTAATAAAATAAGAAATAAATATTTAGGCCCTACAGAAATGATTTAAATATTTGACCTTCTACGGCTAAACATAATCTCAATCTGTCATAAAAACTTTTGCGTACAGATGAAAGGTTTTCTGCTGTGACAGAATTAGAAATTTTTCTTGTTCGGTTTTTTAATTCATCCAAAGTTTGTGCTCTAGCCTCAAGATGATCGTAGATGATGCTTTTTAAATGTTCCCAACAAAAGATGTCCATATGTGTAAGATATGTATGGTGCTGGCAAATGCATTATCCAACAATATTATGGATGGTCGCTCTAATTTTTTTAACAAATTTTTTTCAAACCATTCTTCAAAAATATTTGTATCCATATTTCCATGGTAATCACCTGTATTCTCTGTGGACAAAAAAAATAAACTAGCGTCAGGAATAAAACACTCATCATTTCCAGCATGAAGTATAATGCAGCGTTTTCCATTACTGGAACGACTAGAAGAATAACATTTCGTGGTGCTATCTTGACAAGATGATTTTGACATATTTCCTTTAGCGAAAATCCAAGTTTCATCTAAAAATACAACTTGCCTCGGACTAGCAGACGTTTTATTGTTCATGTATTTTCTTAAAAAATGCCACCGTTTTGAAACAAAATTAGAGAGTTCACACAATACTTGTCTCTTATTTGTCTTTTTATATCGAAAACCTAAATGTTTCAGCACTCTCCACAAACTTGTTAAACTAATATCGCACAGTTCGTTGTCCTTTATTTGTTGTAACACAGCACTAACTGTTACATGTTCTTTTACTTTATACATATTATATATGTATAAAGCTCTAAAAGACATTGGCTTGGACGGCAGAGATGTTCGAATAATTGCAAATTTATATTGGAATCAAACAACATCAGTTTTAGTAGATGGTGTGGAATCACAAGCTCTCAATATTAAAAGAGGAGTACGGCAGGGATGCCTCTTGTCACCCCTGCTTTTTAACGTTTACTCCGAAAGAATTTTCAGAAAAGCACTTTCTGAAAAACAAGAAGGAATACTTGTGAACGGCGAAGTCATCAATAATTTGCGATATGCGGACGATACAGTACTCCTAGCTTCTAGTCAAGAAGATCTGCAAACACTACTTGATAGTGTCGTTGAGAGTTGTAGGGAGGCAGGTCTGGATCTTAACATAAGGAAAACCAAAATACTCGTAATAAGTAAACAACAGAATATAAAACCGTCTATATATGTAAATAATATCAAACTTGAGCAAGTTGATAAAATCGTCTACCTTGGACAGCAATTAAATTGTAATGCAGAAAATCACGGCGAAATTAGATCCAGAATAGAGCAGGCTAGAGCTGCTTTTAGAAGGATGTCCAAGGTGTTATGTAACAGAGACCTAAAATTGGCATTAAGGATCCGCCTACTTCGCTGCTACGTGTTCTCGGTCTTACTTTATGCTGTCGAGTCCTGGACTGTGAATAAAATCGATCTAAATTGCCTTGAGGCTTTCGAAATGTGGTGCTATAGAAGAATTTTAAAAGTTTCCTGGGTGGAGAAGATTCGTAACTCCACAATACTAGAACGTCTCAGCAAGACTACTGAGATCATAAAAAGCATCAAGCAGAGAAAGCTGGAATATTTCGGACATGTAATGAGAGGTCCCAAATATAGATTGCTACAAAACATCATGGTTGAAGAACTTGCGAGACTGGTATGGTGTAGATACAAGCATGCTATTTAGGGTGGCAGCGAATAAAATTAAAATAGCTATGATGGTAACCAACGTTCTGAAAGGACATGGTACATGAAGAAGAAGATATTATATATAATATTTTTACTTGCAAGTTTAATAGACTGGTGCAAATCTAAAGTTTTTGGATGTCTACGATTTCTCTTGCTTACTTTGTTTACTTCATCCTCACTCATCTTATTATTTCTTTGGAATGTCCTCTCTGAGATACCGGAATCATTACATGTGCGTTTCTGAACTGCCTTAATAGATGTCAATGAACTCATATTATTTTTTTCCAAATTGAAATAACTTAACGGCCGGTTTCCGAAACGTTATTCAAATCTCCAATCATGTAATCAAGTGTCAAATTTGATCAACTGTTAACAAGCGACAGGTTTCCGAAACGAAAATTATGGTAAAATTAGGTGATCACCGATTATAGATTATTTGACATACGATTTTACGTGGAAACTGTAGAATCGATTATAATCGTTTATTATTTCTGTACGAATTGTTCTTTATCTTGCTCTAAATTAGGAAAGTAATGTTGCTGTTTCACTCTACCGTCATTTCTGTTTATGTGTAATCTGCATTCTGAAAATCAACAAACAAACATAACCTAACTATTAATTTTGTGTCGTTTGTTAATGTTTGCCAATTTGTCATTTATCAATCATCATCATATTTAATATTAAATATTAGTAAATTGTTTACCTTTGTAACAATATTTTTGAGTTCTTTCTAAACAACAGCTTTTTATAAAACACCTTAGGTTTATGTATTTACAACGTAACCAAAGATTTTATTTTATTTACTTACAACCATTGATACATAACCAAAGATTATAAGATTAATCGTCCAAAAATCTCAGATTACCTGACAAGCTAGTATGACAGTTGTTTGACATAGATAAAACGATAATTAGCGTTTCGGAAACCCAAAATACTTCTGACAGGCTGTTAGTAATCGATTATTTGTTTGTTAGATTTTAATGTGTGTTATGTGATTGAAGTTTGATCGTTGTTTCTGCAACTCAAAATGCATTTAATCGACTGTTAACATTAGATTACCTAATTTTGATAATGATTAGCCTTTCGGAAACCGGCTGTTAGACTGTTAGAACTAAATACCGTTCTTCTGGAGATAACACTCTACATTTCGACTGTATTTTATTTTCTTCCGAATTACTCATTTTGCTTTAAAGTGCCGCTTCACTACACTATTATAAAAAATAGGTACTTGTATACAACTATCGAACACAAATTATTTAACAGTCAATGCTAAACAAGCATAAAGACTGCATTGATTGTGATTGCAAAAGCCATTTGCATGTTTTAAATAAAATTTTTGCTGATTTTGCATTTTTTTAATTATTAAATAACACCAATACAACCCACGACCATCAATTAATTTTTAACGATAAACAGAGAAGAAATATGAAGACGTTTAAATTTGAACTTCTTTGACGATAACAGTGTCGTTAACAGAAAGATATTTTTAAACAGCATTGATCATTTTTCAATGATTGTGTGGATTTAAGAAATACATGACTAAACAAATTTTTAAAGTGCGTATAAAGGAGATTACAATTATTATGACACATGGTATTTACTCCTTATTTTTCAAATAATATGTTCTTGTAAAGGCATAACTTTGATTATCGGGTAAACCTACATTATACGATACGTCAGAAAAAATTTTAAAAAATATCATGTAATAAATTCATTGTTTAAATAAATATTCCGTACTCGTACTATTGCAATAAAATATTAAAACTAATAAACGATAACTTGTTGAGTAGTGCTGATTAAAACAACAGATCAGGAACATAAAGGTTAATCATAAAGGTAGGGTAAAATATATCGCCGCTTATCTGGTACGCTAGTAATAAAGTTATGTACCAGCATTGAATTGCAAAGCGGTCTTCTTAGGTGAAAAAGTATTTGGCGCTTTAGTATATATATATATATATAATATATATATATATATATATATATATATATATCATGGTTTCATAGTGTTCACTATAATACGTATTATCTAATAACTCTCGATAAAAACTATTTTTAGTAAAGACAGTTTTGATGAAAGTCAAAATGATGATAAAATTCATTGACTGCAAAACAAATGTGTTTTTATTTATTTGTGTTGGATCTGCGTATGTAATAATTACCGATAAATAAATTTTTACAGTTATGATAGTTTTGACAAAAGTAAAAACGCTTATTACAATAATAATTGTCATTAATCAAGTTTGTTTTTATTTATTTTCTTAGATATGCGTAATATATAATAATTATCCATAAATACATTTTTGCAGCTATGATAGTTTTGACAAAAGTAAAAAACGCTTATTACATTAATTGCCATTAATAAAATTTGTTTATATTTATTTTTTTTAGATTTCTGAATTGATCATTCAACCAGTAAATGAAGATCTGTAATCTATATAATAATGTAATCGATAATAAAATAGTTCCACATAGAAATTGTAGCATTGTTATTTGTTTTTATTTTTAATAAAGAATTATTTCCGTCTACTTCTTTGTTTTTATATTTTCCTTTTCAGCACAACGTACGTTGGTGCTATTGAAATTGTAATTATTTTTTTGTGATAATACAACCAGGGGAAAATGGGGTAATATCTCGCGACTAAGCAGAAATATTCAAGAAATTTAAATTTTTCACAATAAACAGTTGACAAATTGGTAAACTTTGCACAAATATGTTTGATTTCAGATGTTAAAACAATTAAAAAAAATAAAATATACATTACTAGCTATAACACGTGATTTTGGCGATATTGCCCCACCCGATGGGATAATATCGCTTAGATAGTGAGGGCCCTTAAGCTAGCGGGGACAAATGAGCGAAATCCAATTTAACGTACGCAATATTTTTTTACCCATTTTTCACTAATTTATTACCACCCTAATAATTTTTCACCACCAAACCAACCTTAAGGGGAGCGATTCTGCTGGCTAAGGTTTAAGATAGCAGAATTCGGAAAAAAACATTTTGCCTATAAAATATTTTTTCACCCATTTTTCACTAATGTATTACCACCTTAATAATTTTTCACCACCAAACCACCCTTAATGAGAGCGATTATGCTGGCATAAGGTTAAAACTAGTAGAATTCCAAAAAGAAAAAATAGTTATATAGCACAGTGCTCTGCTTTTTAAGAATTTATTACCACCTTAGTAATTTTTCACTCGATAATTACCCCTCATGGAAAGTCAATAATTCTGTTAGATTAAAATTTTACGGAAAAAATTATTTTTTTTTTTCAAATCTACCCTCCTTTACTTATAACTAAAATAAAAAACTGTTTTTTAAATGTTTACTACTTTAACCATCCTGATAATCTTGAACCCCTAAACCAATCTTATTTGGAAACTTTCCTGTTAGCTTAATATTTGAGCCAGCGAAATTAGAAAAAAATATATTTTTGAAATACCACAGTGTTTTGCTAGGTTTTAATAAACTGATTATCACACTAGTTATTATTCACCCCTCAACTACCTCTTGTAGAAATACAATAATTCTGTTAGGTTAAAATTTAAGGTGAAAAAATATTCTTTTACAATTTCACTATCCTCTACTTATGACTGATATAAAAAAAGTGTTCTGTTAAGTTTAGACTAAACTTTAATTACTATAATAGTTTTTCACCCCAAAACCAATCTTATTCGGAAACGTTTCTGCTATCTTAATAATCAAGCCAGCGGAATTATTAAAAATTATTTTTGAAATACCACAGTTTTCTGCTAGGTTTTTACGAATTTATTACCACCCTAGTAATTTTTCACACTCAAATAACTCATGTGGAAAGTCAATAATTCGTAAGTTAAAATTTAAGGTGATGAAACATCTATTTTTACAATTTTACTGTACTCTATCAATCAATAATTAGAATACTTAAGTGCTACGTTTTCTCCACCTTGCTTTATGGTGTTGAAGCCTGGACAATGACAGAAGCAACACAAAAAAGAATCCAAGCATTCGAACTCTGGTGTTACGTAAAATGCTCAGAATATCCTACATGAGCCATACGACAAATGCGGAAGTTTTGCGGAGGATGAATAAGGAAAGAGAGCTTATGCTTATAATAAAAGAACGGAAAACACAATATTTTGGTCACATCATAAGAAATCAAAAGTATGAACTGCTCCAACTTATAATCGAAGGCAAAGACTATAGCAAAAGAGGACCAGGAAGAAGACGCAACTCTTGGCTTAAAAACCTACGGCAATGGACGAACATGATCTCCATAGAACTATTCAGGGCTGCTACAAATAAGATTAAATTGGCAAATGTAATGGCCAACGTCCTTAAGGATAAGGCACCGTAAGAAGAAGAAGTAATTTGTCACACTCAAGTAACTCATGTGAAAAGTCAATAATTCGTAAGTTAAAATTTAAGGTGATGAAACATCTATTTTTACAGTTTTACTGTACTCTATCAATCAATAATTCTGTTACGTTAAAATTTATGGCGAAAAATTATTAGGGGGTGGTAATTAATTAGTGAAGAATGGGTAACAAAATATTCCATCGGCAAAAAGTTTTTTTTCTGAATTCTGCTAGCTTAAATCTGAAGCCAACAGAATCGCTCCCATTAAGGGTGATTTGGTGGTGAAAAATTATTCGGGTGGTTATAAATTAGTGACAAATGGGTGAAAAAATATGGCATAAGCAAAAAGTTTTTTCCGAATTCTGCTAGCTTGAACCTTAAGCCAGCAGAATCGCTCCCCTTAAGGTTGGTTTGGTGGTAAAAATTATTAGTTTGGTAATAAATTAGTGAAAAATGGGTAAAACAATATGCGTAGAATAAATTGGATTCCGCTTATTTCTCACGCTAGCTTAAGGGTCCGTAGTAAGTGAATCAATATCGTGCATGATGTTTGGACTGGAAAAGTTACAAAAAATAAAAAGAATTATAGATATTTATAATTAAGTTTTAGAAACAATCTAACACTTTTCTTCTCATTTTTTTTATTTTTATATCACCATGCTTAGTCTCTCTCTCTCTCTTTCTCTCTCTCTCTCTCTCTCTCTCTCTCTCTCTCTCTCTCTCTCGCTTGCTTCTCAGTTTTCGCATATTTCTTAGCTTTATTGTCTAGGAGAACATCCTTCACCGGTGTATTGTTCCGGTGATTTGATTTTTTGTTTTTGTGGTAGACTTTTTAAATGGATTCTTTGGAGTAGGAGCTACATGTGATTCTTTAACGATACCTGAATATGAAGGTCTGTTCCACAGTAGCCATTAATGCTGATGGTGTTAATTGAGAAATGTTTTTATTTTCTCTGATATTTCATTTTCCATAGTTGCTACCTTCATGTATTTTTCATTGAATAAGCGCGCCAGATCGTACACCGTGATCTTCTCATATGCAATCAAAATCATATGAGGATCATAAATGACAAAAAACTTTTTTAGAAAGCGGAATAAATGTCAAATCTAGAGGTTGCAGGTGATTTGACTTAAGAGGAGGTATTGTGTGAAGCAGAATGTAATTTTCTTTGCAGAAATTATAAATATCCAATAATATATGGATCGAATGATTGGTCAATACTGGATCGGCCGTAGTTGATTTGACATAGTTCTGAAAATACTTAAGCCATTTCAAAAACAACAAATTGTTTGACCATCCGTTATCTGAACATGCATATATACGTAATACTAGACCATCTTTACCACTATATGTGAAGATAACCGATTCCTAGGACAAATGATCATTGGGTGGACGTAAGAACCAGAAGTACTAACAGCACATGAGATGTAATTGTCCGTTCGGCTGAAGTGGCACTTGTTTTTGTCTTCTTTTGGCATAAACTTTTTCTGAATTTTCTGAACAGTTGTTATACCAGATTTGTCAACATTGTATATCCTGTCGCCTCTAAATTTAAACTCCGTATTAAAAAACGTCTTTGCTAGACTTTGCCAGATTATTTCTTGTTTCTATTAAATCTGAGTTTCAAATGATTAGCTTCTGCGAAATCGAAAACTATTTTCGATTTTCGTCTTATCTCCCAAGGCGTAACTCCATAAAACAAATTTCCCAATTTAATTATGTGATCTGCTAACTCTGCTTCTTGTTCTTTGTTAAATAATGGTTATCTTCCCATGCAGTCAGATATCTTTCTCGAAGCTCGATTTTTAAACCATCTTGTCCTTTTGTCGTTGAGTCTTTCATTTGTAGTTTCTTACCATCTATGGAAACGTTATAAATAAATATACTTGTTGCGTTTCGCTATATATTTAACCTGCAGCAGTGTATTTAATCGTTGTTATGAAGAATTAAAGGGCATCCAAAAAAACGGCCTCCACAGGGAAGTGTTTTAACACCAATGCTCTTCAATATACACACAAACGACCAACCTACGCTAACCGAAACCAAGCACTTCCTCTACGCTAACGATCTTGCAATATGTGCTCAAGGAAATAGTTTTAAAGAAGTGAAAAAAAACTCGAAACTACGATAAAAACAATGACAGTGTACTACCTACAGAATTCCCTGAGACCCAATTCCTCTAAAACCCAAGTCTGCGTTTTTCACCTTCGCGCATAGGAAGCCAAGCGAAAAGTCCAAATTGCGTGGAATGGTAATACATTAGAACACTCAAACCAACCTATATATGTTGGAGTAACTCTGGATCGGTCCCTACAGATAATATTGCATAAAAACGAGATGGAAAGTAACAACTAGAAACATCATATTTAGAAAGCTAACGGGAAGTAAATGGGGTGCACGTCCTGGCGTTTTAAAAACAACGGCACAGGCACTGTGTTTCTCAACTGCTGAATATGTGTGACCCGTTTGGGACAGATCTGCTCACACCAAATAAGTTAATATTGCGCTAAATGAGACATGCAGGATAGTAACGAAGTGCATGAAACCAACGATACTTTCAAATCTATATAAAGCAACGGGTTTTGCACTTGCAGAACCCTCAACATGCAGAAGCGTTACGGAGCATATAGAGAGAATTAAACAGATCGCGGAGCGGACGGGTGGCATGCCCTATACAAAGCTTGAAAACCACGAAAGCGACTAAAATCCAGGAGTGCAGGATAAAGTGCCTGAGTTTCTCTTTCCCAGGTTCAATGGACCGGCCAGTCCCTAGACTTTAAAACGTGGAAAACTACGAATAGGATCAGAACGGGGGTCGCTCCAGTAAAATCAAACACGGCAAAATGTGGAAAAATATACCAAAATGATGTGAACTGTGACTGTGGGGAAACACAGAATATGGAACATCTTCTTACATTTAGAAACTGTCCTCATCGATGTACCCTCGAATATTTATGGCTCCTTGACAAAGATGTTGACGATAAAGTAAAGTAAAGTAAAACCAAATGTTGACCATGTTAAATTTTACGTTATTTAAAAAATTTTACAGTTGGGGGTAGTTTTCACCGTTAAAAAACCAAAAGCGTACATCGGCTCAATATAGAAAATGAACTAGAGGGTGAGCTTTATCCCAAATTTTTGTACAAATCAATGCTAGATGAAAAAATTGCGAGGTTTTGCCATTTTTCATCTTCTTTTCCTGGCCTATGTTCGTTCCCTAACGCTTGACAATTCGTTAAAGATATTACTTTTTTTTTGTCAACTTCGTCGTTACGAGATGGTTCTTTTGTATTTTATTTAATAAGTTAACAACACTTTTAGGCAAAATTTAAAGAAATTGAAAAAGTCTAATGCTTAACAGAGGATGCAAATTACTTAGTAATTAAAGGTAAAGATAATAACCAAGATAATATGGTATATAATTTAACTAGTTTATGGTTTATAATTTCTAAATAATGATATTTACATGTCAAAGGTGGTTTTATTTTTATTATTTAATTTATCTCTCTTTTGATAATGTCTATATTTTCTTCAAATCATCGTTTAAATATACCTGAATCATTCTCCTATTTAACTAGATAAAGTGCATTTTTTTTCTTGTTTAATGTAGAAAATTTTCTATTAAAGTGGTAGAATTAATTATCTGATAACGTAAGTCGGATTTAAGCAACTTGATTGGTATAAGCAGTTCATAGGAAAAATTCATGTGTAGTGTTAGAAGTTGTACGTAACAAAGTAAGTTGTACATTTATCAACAATAAATATTTTGGAGGAGTATATTAAAAGTATAGTTCATATCTATGGAATTTTTTTATTACTAATATGTGAATTTGCATTTTATTCTCTGTATTTTATATGTGTTCCGATTGCATAACACCTTGCGCATATACGATAGGGGTCAATGAATAAGAATCACTGAGCCATGAACCCCTATATCTCATTGTACGACTCATAAATCGGTAGAACCTATTCTCCCGCGAATTCCAGTTGAAAGTTTCAGATCCTCTGTTTTAAAAAAGACGTGAAAAAATGCGTTAGACATTCACGGCCATCGGCTAACTTGTTGAACTGTTTGTTCAGGCTGTTATACCGTTGTCTTCTGAGACTAGTTCTTGACGTTTTGCCACTAAGGCTTGCATCTTCTGGAGATGTTACTGCTTCGATTGTAAGCTGAAACTGACACCGCGTTATGAAATAAAAATAAAAATTTACTGCCCTAACTTATATTTACATTTCAAATTTAATATTTCATTTTTTCTTGATTTTTTCTTTCTGATGTCCCGCTCTTGCACTATCTTCTTCTGGAGATTTTTCCTTTCGGAGTCCTGGACTTCTCTGGGTGGTATCCTTGTCTTCTTCTGTAGGAACTTGTTTCGGCATCGTACCTACTTCCCTGCTTGGCTGTTTTCCGGCAACCATTCGGCAAGACCCTGATCAGATGGTCGATCAGTTTATGGGCATTTCTGTACATCCTCTGGATCCTCTTCTTCTCGAGGATGTCCCTGGTCTTACGAAGTCTTCTTGTGGCCTGGTGTAAGAAGTACCTTGTGGTGTGTACTGCAGCCTTTCTTTGATAGTTGCATTTGTGATTCTTTTCTTCCTAAGATGTTCCGTCGATGATCCGGTATCATGATCTTTCTGTTGCTTCTAATCTCTTCCAGTTGGACTCTGCTATGAAACTCCATACTGGGATGCATACAGTATCACCGATCTAACGTAGGCCTGGTACAACTGAATCTTCTTGGCCTTCGTCAGAGGGCTGGTCCTGAAAATATAAGGAAGTATTAGTTTTTTAGCTGCATTGGCTTTTACCTTAGTTTTTTGTGTATGCAACCGGAAGTTGGGTCTTCTGTCGAGGTGGACTCCTAGGTGTTTGACTGAATCTCCTGCCTGGATCCTGTTTCCTCCTACTGTGATTTTCTTCGCTGGTGGTCTCGTCTACTGAGTGAAAATGATGAACTGGGTCTTCTCTGCATTGATCTTTATCTTCCATTTTTCGGCGAATTCCGTGATTTTTTCTAAGTAGTTTTCCATATTTCGGATGATTCTTTTGTTATCTTTTCCGGTTGCATACACTGCTGTATCATCCGCATAAAGAGCTGTTGAAGTTCTTGGATCTGTTGGAAGATCTGAAACAAAAATATTGTATAATATTGGAGATAAAATGCTGCCCTGAGGCATCCCTTCGTGTATTTCTTGAACTGTTGACATCTTTTTGGTAAGCTGAAACTTAAAAAGTTCTATTGGATAAATACATATCACAAATGTTGATAAAGTAGTGAGGAAGTCTAGCTTTGTCCATCTTGAAGATTAATGCCTTTTTCCAAACCGTGTCATATGCTTTTTCTATGTCCAGTATGGCTAATCGTGTCCTTTGTTTCCTGTTGAACCTTATCTTTGTGTCGCTGATTATTCTTGCTAATTGCAGTTCACAATTCATTTCTCTTCGGAATCCGAATTGTTCTTTTTGGATAATTCTTCTTCTTTTTGTGTGTTTCATGAATCTTTTGTAGATGATTTTTTCCAGTATTTTTCCCATAGGTTTCAAGGAGAGAAATAGGCCTATAGCTTTCCGGTCTTCTTCCATCCTTCTAGGTTTTAGAAGTAGTGTGATTTTGGCGTGTTTCCAGTTGTTTGGAAAGTGTCTGTTTTCCAGGCAAAATTTGAAGATATAGTACACTTGTATTATGATCTTCTTTGGAAGTTTCTTGAGGGTGATGTGAATTCCTTCTGGTCCTGGTGCTCTGCTTCCTTATAGTTTCCTGATGATTTTTACTACTTCGTTGGGTCTGGTGTAGTCTTCTTCTTCTATTGGAGATTCATTTCTTCGTTTGATCCTGTTGTATTCGTTGTCAACTTCTTGGGCTTCGTAGTGTATTCCCTCGTTATCGATGATTTGTGACATCCTTTATTTCACTCTTCTTTTAGCTTTCAGCATTTTCCATACGTTTCCATAGTTTTCTTCGACCTTTCTAATGTTGTTACCAGATAGGGTGACTAACGCCGCGTTGTACTACGGAGGCCATATTTATATTTTACACTCGCCTTCCCTCCACTGGTTTTGGCGTGAGAGGGCGGGTTCGTCGTTCGTAGCTTTTCTTTTTTCGTATTTTGCGGGAGTTTTGTTTGTGGATTTTAATATTGGTGTGGATCTTATGCTAAATCTATGCTTGTTAAATACTCTTAGAAATACCAGTAGGTACAATATTTGACAATAAGCCCAAATTTAAATATACATTTGAAAACAGTAGAGGATAAAAATCAACAATATCATGTCAGAATCTTAATTCATCGAACATAGGAAATAACTACAAGTTATAATTATTGGACAAAATCAGAATAAAGACAATAACAACAAAAAAATAAACAAAATTACCCAACAGACGAAAACAATAAAGTAGTATTTATGGAATCGGTCGACAAAACAAAAAACGACAAAGACAATTTTTATCGATATTATCCCATTCTACAGTTAACAACCGTTGCAGGTCCTAAAAATTAGCTGGCGTCACATTACTAGATATCACTCTTCTGCAAAGATGGTCCCAAACATGTTCTATAAGTCCGGGCTGAGCGCTGCCCAATTCAAAACTTGTAAATTTTCCTCTTGAAGGTACTTGGTAACGATTCTTGTGACGTATGGGCGTGCGTTATCATGCGTTTAAACAAAGTCATTACCAATAAATAGGGCGTAAGGAACAGCATCTCCAAAATTTCTCTAATGTACCTATCAGCAGTTAAGAATCCTCCATCTAGGTGTATTAATTCTGTTTGACCCCTAAAAGATATTCCGCCCCAGAGCATAATAGATCCTCCTCCAAAGTTTGTCGTTGGTCTTAAGTTGCATTGGAAATAACGGTCGCCATCTCGTCTATAAACTGGTATTCTTCGATCCGAAGTGTTTAAACAAAATCTTGAAACATCCGTAAAGAGTATGTTACCTCAGTCGTCAATATTCTAGTTTACGTGCTCTCTTGTAAATGTTATACATGCTATACGGTGTTCCCTTGTAAGTCTTGGATCAGTGGCAGCTAGTCTGGCTCTAATTGCAGACTGTCTTAAGATGTGCCCAACAGTTTCTGAAGACACATGTACATTTCGCGTGTGACATATCTTCGACTCAAAGCCTGAAGGACATCTATTGTCGAAATGCGTAGTTGCTCTTGGCCGACCTGTTACAGCTCGTCTTTCATTAAGACCAGACTCTCGGTAGCTTACCGCCACTCGTGATACTGTCGACTGATTTACACCCACTAAATTTGCCACATATCTCTGACTCCTTCCGTCTTCAATGAGGGAAATTATTCCAACCACTTGATCTCTCGTTAACTTAAATTTATATTGTCATGACCTTCGAAATATTTAATACGAAATTTTAAATAACACGCAAATTGTATACTTTTTACAAAAGTAAAATAAATACTGATAATATAAAAACCGGACAAAATAGCAATTAACATTTTTTTTTCTTAAACTTCACGTGGGTCTGCTCCCCACTTGTCCTTAGACTCTTTTGATAGGAATAGAAAGGCAGAGGAAACAAGGATCTACAGACCGAGAGTTTGGTACAAATTCCACGGCTTTAAATTAAAGCTTCTAATATAATTTTTTTATATTATTAATAATATTAAGTAATTAAATATTGCGCCTTGCTTAAAAAAAGTACGAGATAAATAACTCGTTTTTTATATATTTACGTATGCTAAGGGTAATAAATTAAAATCCTTTAATATAAGACTAAAGGTAGGTACCTATAATTTGAATAAGCTGGTTTTGCCCATACTGACTTTCTAATTACCTACTAATTTGCATAACAGTCAGATATTGTACCTGGTCACAATGCTGTTTAATATTAGGATTTTCATTTCGCTTGTTGAAACTCCATCCGATATTAATTTCTTGTAAATTTTTATAAGGCTGAGAGTACTAAATCGGAATACTCGAGTATTGTTGAAAATACTGAAATTGAAGGTACTACACAATCGAAGAGCTCAAAAAATTAAACATTTCCGGTATTCTTTTTCCAAATCGTATTTTGTTTTCGAGATAAATTTAAATTTGGGAATTTTAATTATTTTTCCCTTTTTTCATGTTCTTTTTTTAATTTACAATATTATCCAAATTTTATTTGGAAGTTTTAATCTTAAGTGTTGAGAAACAATTTGCTAGGAAATGAAAATTTGTTTTTTTTTCCTTAGTTCTTAATTTGCTATAATATTTCTCATTTGATTTAATAAAAAATATTGTAAATTAATTTTTTTGAATAATTATAACAACGACTCACATCCGAGTAGCTTAACACAATTAAGAAAATATAAGGAATACGCTCACAACTTGGAACTGGGTCTTTTCTTCTTTTCGTATAAACTCGGTCTGTAGATCCTTGTGCAGAGGAAACTTCGAATTGACTAGTTCGGAGTCCTCTGTAGAGCGCCTAGGGAGCTGATGTGTTTTTTTTTTTTTTTTTGAACAAACAAACCTCCTTATAGTGACATAATTCTTGCAACGGATACAACAGATTAAAATTGTTAAAATACCGATTACAGTTATCTACTTCATTTTGTTTCTTCTTCAAATATTAGATTATTTCTGGTTCATCGATACTGCTAGTACCGGATTATTCTTAAAAAGAAAATTATAAAAAAATAAATAAATATCATAATAACTTTTTTAGGTTAAGAATTAGAAACTAATATGGTACAACTAATATTGACTGCTATATTTGTAGTCTTTCTATTTTACTATTATGCTATAAAGCCCTTGAATTATTGGAAAGAGAAAGGAGTAAAGCAATTAAAACCAAAATGGCTATTTGGAGACACTTGGACAACAGTTTTCCAGAAGGAATCGATTGGGGAAATGCTTATTAACCTATACAACGCAGCTGGAAAATCAAGGTAATACTTTCTGAGATATTAAAAAAACACATATTCTTTAATAAACAAAAAATAATAATGTTAAACTATTTTCGATATACCTTTATTTATACAAAACATAAAATATATTATGGGAATTAGACAGAGACGAAACATATTAGATAATCTCTTTTCTTGAGTTTAGCTTCTGATTTGGTGGTTGTCAAGACGAAAATTTTTATTTTTAGACGATGCTATGTATAACAATTCCATTAATATGCGTATCTGTTTTCCATCCTTTTTTTTTTCAATTTGTAAGCTTTATCAATAACATATGTAATTCTAGTTCTGTTTCGTAAGTATTGTTACTCCTATCATTCAAAGTTGTATTCTTCTTTGTTATCTGTGCAGTTATTCTAATATAGTGTTGACTTCACCTATGCCATCTCTTATCAAAAATATATCATTAGCATACACCCAGGTGATGCAGTCTTTCCCCATCGACATTTAAACCTCTTTGAAATTTTATTTCGTTATTATTTCCGTGTAACTCTATTACATTTGTAACGTTTCTATAAATGGTAGAGAAGAGTAACCCAAGTTGGGACAGTTTTTTTTATAACAAATACTTGAAAATCAATAGATATTAAAAAAAGTTGAGGTAATAAAATGAAACTTTATTCTAATTATTAACACATTTTAGATATAAACTAAATAAAAAATAAAAAATATGCTTCGTTTTTTGTTATTAAAAAAAAAAGTGTGAATGTCCCATCATGAGAAACCGGAATCCTAAGATGGTCCGTTGGGTTTCTCAAAAAGGGACATTACTCTATACAACTTCCACAAATAAAATAGAGATCATCCATTACTCCACAAGACTTATGAGCCCAATTTGAACATATTTTGCAGTTGTACCAGTCTTCACTACTCTCTGCGTACTTCTTTCCACATACAATGCAGTTTGAATCATCTTTAGTTGAAGTGACGACTGTGATATTGCTAATATTTGCATTTCGAGCGCTGTGTCTATAACTACAGTTCGTTTCACAGATTTAACCTTGTTAGTAGGGATTGTTAATTCCAACGTCTCTAATTCATTTTTATACGGCGATTCTGTGAGTATCGTGGATTTCAGAGAATGTCTAGAAGAAGTCTTACCTTTATTTTTCTGTGCCTTTGGTAGCGGACTAATGTCAGTCAATTTTACCTTGTGAATGATTTGGCTTCTCTGTATCGGTCTGTTATCTTCGGAATCGCCATCTTTAGGTGACCTTAAAACAGACTGTTTTGAGGTTGAAGGAATCGGATTATCATACATTTTAACTTGATTTACGCCTTCGGTATGAGCCATCATTATGGGTAATTTATTGACCTGTGATGTAGTTTCATTGTCCGCTGATTGTTCCGTCGTTTTAGAGGGAGCGAATTTGCAGTCTTGAAATACGTCTTCGTTAAAAGGCTAAATTCCAGTTACTCGGAATCCATTTGTCGCTATCTGTACAAAAGATGCCTTTGAGAATGCTTCTGCAACAGCCCCTGAGATTTGATATATTCCAAATGTACGACCACAATGATTTTTTAGCCATCTAGTAAGGTACAAATCATAATAACTCATAAATGATTTAAAATACGAAGCATCTAGGGGTTGCATTTTATGCGTACAGCGTGGTGGCAGGCATAATAAACTAATACCATTCTCGCGACAGAAGTTTACAACGTCTAAACTTTTTGTATGTGAACAATGGCCGTCCAAAATATTAAGAATTTTGCACTACTTCGAAGGTCTGGTTTGTTGTGCAAAATATTTTATGAATTTTAAAAAAACATCACGATCCATCCATCCTTTGTCCTGTGGAAATGCCGGACTACCGTTAGGTGCATTGTCCATCAGCCCTGGTTTTATTTTCTTTCTGGGAAATATAAAAGCAGGCGCAAGAAAATTGCCACTTGTACTCATAGCAGCTACTATAGTGACATTAACTCCTCTTTCGGCATTTGTTAAACCTCCCACTTGCTTTTTACCCCTCTAAGCAAGAACTTTAGATAATTTTTGGATGGTGGTCACTCCGGTCTCATCAATATTCCAGATTCTATCTGGAGTGAGGTGATGTTTATTATAAATACTTTCCAGGTTGTTTGAACTTTGGACTGCATTCTTGTTGAATCCTGTAGCTCTAGCGTATGAGGTTGCTTCTGGTTTTCTCAGAGAAATATTTCTATGTCGACTCAAAAACCCATAAACCCACTTTTTAAAGGCCCTTCGAGTATCTTTATTAAAATTGTTAACAATATTATTGGCTTGGGCAAAGTCAAATGCCAGATAACGAAGTTCTTTATAAGTGATTCCAAAAAATCGCTTTTCCATTTTAAGAATATGATCTAAAATTTCGTGTTCCTGTTCAACTAAGAATATTTGCATAAACCGACCAAGATATTTGTCATTTTCGGTCACGATTTTATTTTTGTTTGTAACTCGTCTTTGAAGAGTACTTTTAGGAATATTATATCTGTCAGCAGCTTCTCGAAGCGATAGTTCGTTATTCCGAATTTTTTGTACAGCTAGAATCATATTTTGAACGGACCAGTTTCCACGACTAGTTTTTCTTTTGTAATAGGAATTTGGATTTCTATTTGGCATCTGTAAAAGAAAAATATATCAGTTCCACATATGAGATATAGAGTTCACTGAATAAAACATTTTTTAATGACACATTTCCTTTACTTAGCTATAATCAAGGTTAAAATATTATGACCTCCTTGGGTATAATTTAATTACTGAACCCCTACTTATAAATGTGTTAGAATGAATTACCGTTATATGTAAGAATTTATAAGTAATTAATGATTTAATTAGTTAAAAGTAGGCAGGTATAAGAAGAATATCTGTAGCCATATTTTAGTTCCTAAGATGGGACGTCCCGACTTAGGAAGTTTGACTTTGTCCCATCTTAAGAGATTTGCACCCATTTTGTAAAAATCTTAACCGATATTAAACAAAAGCTTTAGTGGCAAATACTTTACAGTGAAATGCAATGACTATAAACTCTGTTATTGACTAATAACGTTAAGTTTCACAGATACTTACCATTAACGCTATATTCACTATAATGTACGTAAATAAAATTTAAAAAAATATGTAAACATTAACAACTTGTTCTGACGAACGCTACCGGTATGCTAGCCTCGTGTCGTTTACGTGACAATACGACTGAATGGCGAGCTTTCATTCTTCCAGTGCAGGTGTTGCCACTTGTTACAGATTTTCTAGAATTGCTAGTGTCCCTACTTGGGAACCGTACCGTCCTTAGGTAACTCTCCCCTATATACTAATCTGATATACCGGCTAGCAATGTGACTTTTAATTAATACTTTAATTAGACTATCTAGTTCTATCGAATCAAACTCCTCAAGTTCCTCATCTAAATAAAATAAAATTGCGTCAGGAAGTAGTCTATTTTCCTGATCTTTCATTCCCACCACGGCTTAGATCAGGAGTAAGCTCCTTCGTCTACCTTGCCTTTCTGCTATCATTTGCCAATTCGCTCTGAAACTCCACTATAGTTCTCTCCCTCTCTCTCTCATTCTCATCTATATTTTCATCCATCCTCCTTGCATACACTCTCGCTCGCTTTTTACACAACAAACGATTGGTATCGCCACTTCAAAGACATACATAGATTCATTAAAACTTTCCTATATACGCTAGATACTATATCGTCTCCATCAGCTTGGCGTATTTCGCAGCGTTTAGTGCGCTACGCGCACTGCGGAGGCAGCGAAGGTTACCACTGACTGGAAAACTCCATTTAGCACCTTTGTTTTGGTGCTACCTGGACCTCCAATGTTTGGCATCAGCCGTATCAACTTCTCCAAATTTCGGTTTTCCTTCTCTATTATCTTTTGGATGTGTACTCCGAACCTCAGTCCTTCCGACAACCAAATTCCAAAATACTTAACCGATTTAACCAGTGCAACCTCCATACCTTCCACTATAAAGCGAAGAGAGGATTTGTCCCGGCTTTCTTTGAGCACTGACACCTCAGTTTCCTGAAATACTAGCTGTAGATCGTTCTAAGCTAAATTAGCCAGATCGGTTTTCGATTTGCCGTCGCAACCAGTGCGAGATCATCGGCATAAGCTACAAGAGTACATCCCCTTGGCATCTGTAGCCTCAACACCCCGTCATACAGGACATTCAACACTCTGCGACAAACTAATGCTGGTATCATTTTCTCTTATAGACCTGTCAGTAAAGTATCTGTCAATTACGTTGACTAGATACTCACTAACGACCAATTCCCTCAGCCTGGACATGATTTTTTCCCATGATGCCATGTTAAAGGCATTATTGACGTAAAGCAGTATTTGAGCCACTTATCTCTTAGTATTCTGCTTGACTAATGAGGTTTCTTCTATTACCGCATCTATGATGGACCTTTTGGTCCTAAAACTATATTGGCGGACGCTCAGCACATGCTTTTGCGACGAAACTGCACCTCTTTCTCTTCACCTCTGTCTTTCGGGATAAGGACAACTTTAGCGTCTTTCAACAGTGTTGGAAACATCTGTGTTCAAGCAGTTTGTTCAGCAATCCTTAGCTGCTGTAGGTGCTACAGGTTCGTCTGTAATACCCTGATTAGGATTATTTGTACAGACACAGAGTCTCCGACCATGGTCGCCTTTGTAATTGTTTCCTATAGATTTTTATTTATGGAATCAAAAAAAATTTTATTTACGGGTCCTTTTTTGAACCACCTCTTTTTATTCGTGCCCATTTATTTCCATTAGTTGGTACAAAATACTATCAGATACGACAGTGACAATATCGTGCCTATAGTTTTCTCATATCGTGTCAAGACTAGAGTTCGACAGAGTTCACTAGCTCTCTGCTTTATTCATCAGGCAACACATTTCTCCCTATATCATGCACTCCCTGCACATGATAATGTTACGAAGGGCAGTAGTTGTAGAACAAATCACCAAAAGATGAGTAATTTTGATGCAGCTGTCTGGTCATTTGCCGATTAAGTAGATTGTAAATATGCATGTATGTATGTGTATTTTGTAGTTATGTGTGTGCGTTTTTATACCGTGTAGGTAAAAGTTTATGGTCGGTATCTACCTTACGTGAGATAGAGTGAGAAACACCTGTTTAAAAATAGAGAGGTATATTAGGTCCGCCCTTTATATCGCCGAAAATGCATGAGTGAAAATATAATAAAAAAGGGGAAGTTCAACGTTGCCAAACTTATTAGTTTTATTTGACCTGTTGTCTTTTTAGCATTTGAATAATGTTCTATGATAATTAAATTTGGGCGAAATTGATTTAAATGGCAGCTTACTGTTTTTTATTAGGAATATGCCACAAGTTGACTTTACAATAAGTGTAATATAACATTTTAATTTCCACTTCGGAAATAGTTTTATTTAAATAAAATTTATTAATGTTTCGTATTTTAAATACGATTTCCGAATTGAAAATCTAAACATAAAAATAAGCTTATTTTAAAGTCACATTGTGAGTTATTCCCAATAAAAATAATAAACTGCATTATGACGCCACAATAAAAAATCTTCTTACAAAATTATTTGGCAACGTCGAGTGGTCAAAGTAAGGACACTGTAGTAACGAGAACAACAGTAGACGTGAGTCGTTGACTGTGTGACTATGTGAATGTGTGTCATGTTCAATCAACAAATCTACAGTTAATAACTGCTTCTGTGTCATGACCCCAGGTAATCTGCAAAATTATTTTAATTACACCTTATTCACATCTCTCCTACGTCCTATTTATCCATAGGACCTTGCCTATTAGACATTTGGACGTGCCGTGTTGGAAATAAGAACTTTCTTATCCAGTAGGTTCTATGATAAGTGAAAACAAACTCATTTTCATCACAATCCCAGCATATAAGTATATATTAACATAGACTGAGCATGCCAGCAATGAGCAGTGACGACAACATATTTTGCGTTTTATTTGATATGTCCCTCTGTAGTGCATTTAAACTCCACACTCGCTCTCTTCCGATCAAAAACAGAGGATACTATACTTACTTGATGTAAGATAAAAACACAACTAACAACGAAAAAAAGGTGTTGTCGTCACCAAACTCTACAGACGGCTTTGTCTATGTCAGTTAATATATACGTCTATGAGTCTCATACTAACACGGCCTTAAGTATGGTACCAGTGATGATTTTGTCACTCATCCATTTTACTCATTATTTCTTTGTTCTAAATTTTAAAATTTAAATCTGTATTGCTAAAAATCTAATTAATCAGAAAAAAGTACATGCTTTTTTAGTCCAAACAATTTCAGGTATCTTGGAATATATCAATTTACGACGCCCGTTCTTTTTATTAAGGACCTAGACTTGGTAAAGCAAATTGCAATTAAAGATTTTGACCACTTCATGGACCATAGAAGTGTGATTAACGAAGACGCAGATCCACTAGTTGCCAAAAACTTATTTAGTATCACAGGTACGTACAGGTGCATTATATAGCTTTTAGGCCCCTTTAGGGAATAACAAATAACCATAAATTATTAATAATTAATAAATAATATTATTTATTAATTCATCGCTAATGTCGTTTTACCAAGTTATACAGTATAACTGAAACAAGGGACAAGTCATTAACGCACTTAATGTGCATGGGAGTGCAGATGGAAGAGTGCTAAGAACCGATGTTGAAATAAAGCGAAGATTGTATGAGTACTTTATTAAGTTGCTAAATCAAGAACACCACAGGAGTGACGGAGGATGCGCATTCCCAAATAAAATTGTAATACCGGGGATAGCGAGAGATGATGTTATCGAGACGTTAAATAATAGGAAGAACGGTAAGGAAGTAGGACCTGATGGAATACCTGCGGAGGTTTGGACGCTCTACGAGAGAAAGAGATTGATATTTTGTGGTAAGAGATGAGTAGGATATAATGAGCAAGAAAGTATATTCAATGAATGGAGAGAGTGTACGATGGTATTATTGTATGAAGATAAAGGAGATATTCAGGACTGTAAGAACTATAGAGGAATAAAGTTAAATGTCGCACACAATGAAAATTTTTGGATGAACTGTAAAGCAAAGGTAAAGGAGAGGGGCATCGATAAAAGAAGTTTGGGATTGTGCAAGGAAGGAGGACAACGGATCCCCTTTTTCCATTGAGACAGTTGATAGAAAAATACACCGAGAAGAAAAAATATTTATAGGTCTTGAGAAGGCGTACGATATAGTTCCTAGACAAGAGTTATGGAGATGAACTGCAGTCGGATTGATCGAAAGTTTTTCAGTGACGTTTAGTTTTCATAAAGGCTTTTCATTAAATCCCTACCTGTTTAATCTTGTCATGAATTAACTGATAGAGAAAGTAAGAGAGGGGGCTGTTTGCTGTTTGCTAATGATATCGTGTTTGTAAAGTAAAACAAAGAAATGTTGGAGTGAAGTTAGAGTATTAAAGAAGGGTATTAAAGAAGAAGGACTTTAGGTTTGCATGTCGAAAACGGAATATGTGATTGGGAGGAAGAGGAATGGTTGGGAATGTAGAATCGCTTGAAGAAACTCTAGGACGGGTAAAAGAATTGAAATAGCATAGCTCTTACGTAACGGAAAATTGAACAATAGATCGACTAAATTGCTCATAGGATAACAGGCTGGTTGGTTTCACCGAAAGCGAATGAGCGGGGTATTTGATTGAAAAATCGGTGAAGGGCTGAAATAAAAGATAAACAAGAGTGTAATAAAACCTGTATTGGTGTACGACGGTGAAGTGTGGTCTGTAAAGAAGATCCAGGAAAATAAGATTGTGGGAAGAGTAGAAGGGACAGGATTAAAAACGACTAGAATATGGAAAGAGCCAATTTAACTACAGTCTCCAAATTATTCAAAAACAAAGACTGCAATACTTTTATTGCTCTTCCCGTTCTGACAAACTACTTTCTAAGGCATCTTTGTATGGGTACCCCTAATCAAGGCAGCAGATCCTTTTCTGGACTTTCGTTCTTTAAAACTAGACTTGTAAAATGAAGTGGTAGGTAAAGGTCTAATATATTGTGGCCGCACTGTTGAATTTCTATTGTAGTATATTTATATAGTTCTAATTTATTTGTACAAATATCTTCGTACAAATACCTTGGAGCATGGATCATAGAAGATACTGATCAGACAAAAGAAATAAGATGCCGCATTGAAATTGCGCGGTCAACTTTTAATAGAATGAGAAAACTTTTTTGTAATCGCGATATCAATATATCGCTCCGGATAAGAATGCTTCGATGTTATATTTTCTCTACCCTCTTGTATGGAGTTGAAGCTTGGACACTTAAAAAATCCAACATTAAAAACCTAGAAGCATTCGAAATGTGGTGTTACCGACGCATTTTGAAAATATCATGGATAAATCGCAAAACAAACGAACAAGTTTTCGAACAACTAGGAAAACAATGCGAAGTTTTAAATTCCATAAAGATCAGGAAATTGTAATACTTGGGGCACATCATGAGCCTATTTTGGTGAAGCCGCTCGACTCGTTTTTCAACTGTTTGAAAAGCCTCGAGACGTGGATGACTCATAAAATTGGGTCTAAAGGTTTCTGTAAACAACTTCGAATTTACTGGAACAGAAAACAGAATTAGTCATAATATATTTATAGTTATAAACGCCATAATTATCGTAACACTATTATTAGAAATGTTCTTACATGATAAATTTTCCACATATTTGGTCGCATCAATACTTCTTGGAGGAGTTACATGCTACGGAGGAGTTACTTGGTTTTCTTTTTCAACCTCTGGTAGATTTGGAACTGAAACTCGGTCACCTTCCGCTTAATGGTGAATGGCAAAGTCGTGTTCTCAAAAAATGTGTTTATTAAATGGGCAGATGCCGCTGTTTCGAAAACCATTTAAAGCGATTTCAGCTATAGCATATCTTACATAAGCTCTTCCAAGCAATTCGCAAACTTGATAGCAGATGACGACTCTTCCAATGTTGTTCCAATAAATTTATCGAGTCCATGTTCCGCGTGTGGGAGAAGTGACTATCCAATATTAATACAACTGGATCAGCTATACTTGGTTTAACGTGGCTAATGAAATGTTGTAACCAATTGGTGAAAATGTGACTCTGAATCCAGCCAGACACATAGCAGGCAGCTACTGTCCCTGGTATAGCGCCGTTGAGCAATCCTGCCTTCATATTTTTCGGGTAAATATGACCATAGGGGGCACAAAACCATCAGCCGCATTCATACAAGTAAGCACAGTCACTAAAGATCCTCTTTCTGCAGAGGTAATGATTACCTGTTGAGGTGATTATTTTGATATGCTTTGGTTGTACTGTACAGACGTTATACCTGTCTCATCCAGATTATAGATTCGATAGGGATTAAATTTCACCTTTTTTATCGCAGGTTCCAAAATTTCAAAAAAATGATTTACTATTTCTTTGGTGAGTCCTTTAATTCTGGCAACTGATAAACCCTGTGATCTCCTAAGCGTTAGTTGAGGATCTTCTTCTTCTACGGCACTACAGCCCAAAATGAGCCTTGGCCTCCTTTATTTTTTGCCTCCACCCTTGTCTGTCTGTGGCTGCTCTTCTCCATACACGGACTCCTAAAAGTGCTTGTGCGTCACTGCTTACTGTGTCTTCCCAGCGCTTTCTTGGCTTTCCAACTGGTCTCTTTCCCTGCATTCTGGCGTTCAGTGCTCGTTTTGGTAGCCTATTCTCTCCCATTCGTATCACATGTCCGGCCCATTGCAATCTTTGTATTCTAATGAAGTTTGACAGGGTGTTTCCTTATACAGTTGATAGAGCTCGTTGTTATATCGAATTCTGAAGATCCCGTTTTCCCTCACAGGTCCTAGTATTCTCCTCAGTACTTTTCTTTCGAATGTGTCGAGTTTGTTTTTGGATGTTTCTTTCAGGACCCATGCTTCGCTGCCATAACATGCTATTGGCCGAATTAAAGTTTTATATATTCTCATCTTTGTATTTCGGTGGACACTTTTAGACCGAAATATATGGGAGAGGGCAAAATAAGCTTTGTTTGCCTGCGTTATCCTTTTTCGTATTTCTCCATCCTCTGCTCCATCGGCATATATTTCTACTCCCAGGTATGTAAACTTTCCAACCGTTTCAATGTCATCTTCATGTATAATGTTTTGTGGGATTATATTTCTTCTCGTCTGTACCATTATTTTTGTTTTTTCTGTGTTAATTTCCAGACCTAGCCTTTTCGTTTGTGTTTTTAACTCTGCGTATGCTTCCTGTGCTCCTGTTGATGTTCTACTCATAATATTAATATCATCGGCGTAGGCAGCCAGTTGAACCGTTTTATTGGTCAGTAGGTTTTCTCGTCCAGTTTGCATTTGCCTGACCGCATACTCCAGTGCCAGGTTAAACAATGTTGGTGCCAGCCCATCTCCCTGCTTTAGTCCCTGCGAGATTTTGAAAAAGTCTGTCCGGTTGTTTTGTATTCGTACACATGCCTGAGTTTCATCCATTGTGGCTTTAATGAGTCTAATTAGCTTATGTGGTATTGCTAATTCTGCCAATATATAGTATAGTCTGTCCCTTTTGACTGAATCGTATGCCTGTTTGAAGTCTACAAACACGTTGTGAACATCAATGTCGTGTTCCCACGATTTGCTCAAGACCTGCTTGACTGTAAATATTTGATCCATTGTCGATCTTCCCCGTCTGAAGCCCGTCTGACATTCTCCAATAATATTTTCTGCTAGTGGTTGGAGTCGCTGGTTTATAATATACGTGAGGACTTTATACGCTGTACATAGTAGAGAAATTCCACGGTAGTTTTTGCATTGGAGTTTGTCTCCTTTTTTATAGATTGGGCATACTATACTTTTCTTCCATTCGTCGGGTATTTTCTCTTCTTGCCATATTTCTTTGATAAGCGCGTGGATATGACTTGATAGGTGGTTGCCACCTACCTTATACAGTTCTGCTGGAATCTCGTCAACTCCCGGGGCTTTATTGTTTTTCTGGGCCTTAATAGCTTCGAGAACTTCCTCTATGGTTGGAGCTTCTACTTCAACTTCGTTCTCTTCTACATGGTTCGTACCCATTTCATCTTCCATATTCTTGGTTAGTTGAGGATGCCGCTTTAAAAATAAATTCAACCATTTTTAACCTCCCTTTTTCTGATTAGTTGAAAACGGATGTTTTAAATTGTTCCGAATAGCTAATTAAAAGGCTAATCTTCGAATATCATAAGATCGCAATCCGTAAAATCTTCTATCCATTTCTAGGCAATAATCGACCAAATCCCCTTCAGTTTCTCTGGTCGTCCCATATTGGTTTCAATAAGTTCTTCAGGTGACTTTATTTTATTTCTTACGTAGTCTTCCAACGTGCTCCTGAGAACTTTAAAAGTTTTTGAAGCTCGCAAGTACCCCATTTCTTTGGTTTTAACTACAGTAACAAATGAGACCAATAAGCAGACATAGTGCAAAAATTATAGCATAATTCTTTCTTTTTGTCGACGAAAACATTAAAATGTAATTGTTAACACGATCGTAACTACGTAGAAATGATAGTAGATATTCTATATAAAAACAGTTAAGAGATATTTTGTCCTAATATCGGATATCTGATATTAAGACATTGGAACCATCTGATAGGCAAATTATCACCTGTTGTGGATGTTATGTTTATGGATTAAAAAACCTTAGTAATACACTGTCCACATACAGTTAATAAAAGCAGACATATTATAGACTAACTTAAACTACAAAGTCAAATTTAAAAACTTACCTGAATGTATATAAATTACTCACTCACTCACTCTAAGGTAAAAACGAATTCAGTGTTAAACTCCGCCCACTTACACCTCTTTGCCCCTCACGCCTAAGTACTACCTGACTGTATGGTGGCGACATTCATTGAAATATTTGCCAATATTGAAAAATAAATTTCAGTTCCCTGGTCCGGCAATTTTATAGTGCTTTAGAGGACGATATAAGGATGGCATTCAGCCTTTTCACAAACAATTTTAAGGTGCTTGTAATCTATATTATGAAATTCCGATTTTACTTCAGAAAAAACGCTAAAAATTGATTAATGAAAACAGTAAAGGTTTTCTAAAAATTATTTATTTATCAATACAATACAAAAAAATAACAAAACATAAAATACATAATAAAATTAACAGTGATAAATTACATCTCATGTAAATTACTTTTTTGTAACTTTTCAAACAAATTAATTTCCAGAATTGATGCAAACTAAAATATTTTAAGCTAATATACAGAATTTATTTCAAGATTTAGTCCATTCACTTACGGTAACATATTGCAAAACCTCCTAATTTTAAAGAATCGCTTGAATTGACATAAAGTTTGGCTTACGCCTAGCTAAGATGTCAAAGCAAAAAAAATTATGCTTTTGCCCTATGGTTCAGTATCAACCCTTCTCGGGAGTGAAAAAATATATGTTTAAGACAAGTTCGGAGGTGCCTAAAATCAATAATTCTAAACAACTTTTGTTTTGAATTAGCTGAATTTGAACTTTTTGAGTTTTTTCAAAAGTCAATACTTTTTGAGTTATTGAAAAATAGGTTCTTATTCGTCAAATTCCATGTTGAATATTTTCAACGTGAAATAATCAAAAAATTAAGCATTTTCGACGAAATCTCATTAAAACTTTTTTTAAAGTGTTTAAAAAGGTTCATTTTTGTTAAGTTTCTAGCATCAAAAGTAAGCAAGCTATGACCAAAATATTCAGAAAAGCAAAACCTACATTTTTTAACTCTTTGTGATTTTTGATATCACTAATAAATTTTAAGTTATTTAAAAAAATTCAATATTAAAAAAATTGTTAAAAAATAAGCCCTTTAAACAAATGAAACTTATAGATCATTATAATAATACTATAAAAACAATGACCAAGGTATTTATTAGAGAAATCAGGACACGCATTGAAATTGCAAGAAAAGCATTTATAAAAATGAAAAAAATGTTTTTTAATCGAGATCTTAACTAGTTTTAATGGGAAATAAGCCACAATTTTACTAAAAAACAAATGATTTTATTAACGTTTCGATGCCCAAATCAGGTGTCGTTGTCAAAATACAAAAATTATTATTAAATTAAACAAAAATGTTGTTGCTTGGTAAAAAAAATCTTCTAATAATTTATTTAATCTGACTCATTTATATTGGCAATTCAGACATAAATTATACATTTTAAAGTAAAAGACTTTAAAATGATAGTAACCTTAAGATGCTAGGTGTTCTCGACTTTGTTACATGGAATGGAAAGCTAGACGCTAAAAGTAGGCAATATAAAGAAGTTGGAAGCATTTGAGATGTGGGCTATAGAGGGTTTTGAAAATACCTGGATCTAACGAGTTACAAATGCAAAAGTGTTAAGGTTACAATGTTACAAAAGGATTGCGAGGTGATAAAGAACATCAAAACAAGAAAGCTGGAATATTTAGGTTACATTACCGAAGGTGCAAAATATGAGATATTGGGCTTATAATGCAAGATAAAATTAAGGGTAAAAGATCCATAGGTAGAAAAAGAATTTCCTGGCTGAGAAACTTAAGAGAGTGGTATAGTTGCAGCTCAATAGATCTTTTCCTAGCAGCCGCCAATAAAGTACGAATAGCTGTGGTGATGGAGAATCTTAGATGGGAGAATCTGATAGTAACATTGTACTACAAAAAATTCACAGAAGTCACTTATATTCTGTGCAAAATAAGAAATTGTATAGAGGTGAACTAAAATCAATATGATCTACTGTTCGATCCCATTGTAAAATTAAAATTTTAGCAAAAAAAATATTTATTATTTCTTGTTCTCAAGAAGTACTTTCATTATTGACAATATCGAAACATTTTATTATTAAAAGTCGAGAAGAATTAAAAACCACGTTCATATTTATATAAAAGTGATATAAAAATGAAGGTATATTACTCTTGAAAAGAATAATACATTGTTTACCGGGTAGGAAAAGCTTAACATTCCTGGACGACTGTGAAGATTGCTAAGTCGAGGCGCAAGCCGAGACTTAGCAACACAGAGTCCAGGAATGTGGCTTTTCCTACGAGGTAAACATACTATTTTTCCGCAAATCGTTTAAAATTCGACAGATATTGATTAATTTAAAAAAAAAACGCGATAATTTTATTCCCAAATAAATGGTGCTTTGAAATTCCTAATAAAATTACTTGGGTTACTATAGAAACGTATTGAGGTTGAATTGTCAAACTTGACAATTTATGTAGAACACTAACAACTGTACGGAAATATCATTTCCTTACAGTAAGAAAATGACATTTCCTTACAGTAAGGAAGTCCTGACTTTTTCTTCAAGAAATTTTGACAGGAATGTCAAAATTTCCTGGCGATTTGCGGAAAATAATATTTTTTAACAAACAAAAGATATAGGTAGAAAAAAAGAGGTTTAATAAGTGATGCCAAAAAAAGAACGGTAGACCCTATAAAGTGAATGAAACGTACACTGAAGAATTTTTTGTCTTTAAGGATCTTTCAAAAATTTTTGGGCAAAAATTCACCAAAAATTCGGATAACGAAAAGGTAATATGGAATAATATACAAATTCTTAAAGTAGGGAAGTGTTTTCCTACAAAAGTTTTTTACAAAACTAACTTGAAAGATACAACCTATAAAACTATTGACCTTTCTACTCGTCGTTTTTCTGATAATAGTGTTTTAGAGCAATATAACTTAAAACCAGCTTACGAAAAGCCTCCTACTGTAGGAGAGAAAACAAAAGAGCATTTAATCAATTTATTTCAATTTGTTGAGTTAATTTCTTGAAAGTGAATTATAATATACAATTATAATTATTAAATTTATCTAATAAATTACCTACCATTTATAACTTTGTCTGGTTTTTCATTGTTAATGTGTATAATCGTAGAGCAGTCATGGATATTGAGTAATTTAAAAATGTAATGCAATACCGCCATGTCAAATATTTATAACGGGTCAATATTTCTTGTTTTTGAAAAAACATATTCATTCGTATGCTATTGAATTACTAATATTCTAAAATGCAGTTACTTCTCTTAAAATACCTATTCTGTAGAGGAAAAAAACCCGTCACTCATATTTTCATTTGCCTCTCCTGTTAAATTTATAAATTTGCAGTTGTAGCGGTATTGAATTGGATTTGCGACTTGTCACAGATAATACACCTATAGGGTAAGTTCGGCCCTGACACTACTCCTACCTCCTCGCAAGTCAGAGACAGAATGAGAAATCTCGATACGGTTTTCGAGTAACGCCATCTAGTTGTTGATACGTCTTTCGGTTACCACGAGGTGAGCTATCTAGGTGGTGGTTTATAATCAATGACTGGACATAGGTTTCTGTTAATCAGATTACAAGTTTCTATAAAACATAAATATACGATAATAGACAACTATCCGATATTATGGCACTTTACTCCATGTGTGTGTGTCTGTAAATATTTTAATTCGCGCTTATTGGTCCAAAAAATGTACAATATTGAGAATTATTTAATTAATTATGAGAATTTATTATCTAAAAATACATCCTAATAAAATTATTAAGTTTGTAAATTTACATTTTTTGTAGGGCAAAAATGGAAGGACTTACGGGCAATACTCACTCCTTCATTTACTGCCAGCAAACTTAAAACAATGTATCATTTAATAACGGAATGCGGTGAAACTTTTGCCAATTTCTTTTTAAAAAAGAATCAAGATTCAATGGAAATTGAGATGAAGGATGTTTTTCTGCGGTACTGTAACGATGTAATCACTTCGATAGCTTTTGGAATCAAAATGGATTCGTTGGAAGAACCTGACAATGAATTCTTTTTAACGGCAAAAACAGCTACTAATTTTAATGGATTTTGGGTCAATGTTAGACTGTTGGCTACTTTGATTTTTCCAAAATTATGTACGGTAAGTGGAAGACATTAATAACTCATAAAATAAAAATATATTAGTTTCGAGCATTCGACATTCTCTTTGATGTCCTCTTCAGGACTTCCGAGGTCTCCGTCTCCCGAGTCCCCAGACTATATTACACTGATCACTTATCAAAGCATTAGTGGTGCTGGGAATAGAGGACGTGTCATTTACACCATCGATGGTAACGTGGCTTGGGTGGAGGTTGGCGTGGGAGCCAGCGTAGGGATTAGCGCAGAGATTGGCTCGGTGGTTGGCGCGTACATTTCTGACAGTCGGATTTTGGTTGAGGAGTGGAGCGGATGGTATTTTCTTTATGAGAGGTTTCCAAGTAAAAGGTAATCCAATTAAAAGAATTTGGCTTTCTTCCTTTTTTTATGGCTTCTCGGATAATTTTTGGTTTATAGAAACAGATAGGGGCTATGGTTCTGGAGTTTTTAAAATCAGTTTTGTGACCTGTATGAAGATGATGTTGGCCTAGAGCTGAAATTGAGTCAGAATTGCGAACAGAAATGGAATGTTCATAAATCCTAATTTGGATTCTACAATTTGTTTGGCCTATATTGAATCGGCAGTCTGCACAAGGAATTTCATAAACTCCGTGTTATTCATTTGAAATGATGTCTTTGATTGATTGGACAAGAGGTAAAAGTTTTTGTTGTGGAGTAAATATTGTCTTTATTTCTCTTGATTTTAAAATTTTGTCGATTTTGTCAAGGACACCTTTGATGTAAAGAAGAAAAGCTTTCGAATGATGAGGGTCTGAGTCTTTGGGTTGAGATTGAGTTGGAGGTTGATGTCTGTAGATGTTCTTATTGATGTGATGAAAATAGTATAATGAAATATTATATTATAAATAAATATATATATATAATATATATATATATATATATATATATATATATATATATTGTAGTTTTGAGTTTCTTGAACCGTATTATATTTAATATAAAATTAATATTTCTTGGGTTAGGTTCAATAAAGATATGTTACATGTGGAACTAGATTTTATTTTCCATTGCAATTAATCAACGTTTCGGCAGGAAAATTATATTTGTCCTTATATATATACACATTTTAGAATCTTGACAAAGGCAAGAGTTTCCTGCCGAAACGTTGATTAATTGCAATGGAAAATAAAAATCTAGTTCCACATGTAACATATCTTTATTGAACCTAACCCAAGAAATATTAATTTTATATTATATATATATATATATATATATATATATATATATATATATACATTATATACACTTCACAGCGTATTCTGCCTTTGGGTTTCCGTTCGCCATACCTATTTATTTTGCCAGTCATCTTCCCAATATATTTTTTGCTGACATTGTTTTTGAAATTCATGGCATCCTTATTGTTGGGGTCTTTTTTTTTCTAGTGTTGTCCATTTCAACACTTGTTTTGGTATACAGTATCTCAAACAAAACTTCTTCTTTCTTGTCCAAGAGTACTTCAAAAACACATTAAAAAACACTTAAAAGGAAAATGTAGTCCACTGGAAAACCGTTTTAAGCCAAAGGCAAGCAAAATATTAATTACAACCTTCTACTCGCTATGCAAAGTACCTTTGAAAAGAGTAGTAGTAGTTTCTGAAAAGTTAACTTCACACGAAGATATCTTTATAAAATGGGTAAAGAGGACAGAGCAATAGGCAGGTTCTTTGCAAATACAGAAGAAACTTCATAAATGCCTCAACCAGATCTGTTAACAACATGAATAGGGTACAAATATCTCCTCTAAACGGGTAATAGGCTTTCTTAGAAGCCAAGATATGTTGAACTAGACATATGTTGGAATACACAAACTATCTATTGGGGGTCAGGGTGGAAAAGACTACGGGGTCAATCAACCCCTTTGGAGTTGAGTGGCCTTTTAATCTACAAATATAAAAATTATTGTTAATATTATTGACAGGTCAAAATATAATATATATATATATAATATATATATATATATAATATATATATATATAACATATCTAATTACTTGTTATGTTCATTTTTATTATTTCTTACAGTTCTTAGGTGTACCTCTCTTCGATAGATATGTTCGACAATTTTTCTTTAGTGCTGTCGATGAAACAATTAAAACGCGAGAAGAAAAAGGAATAGTGCGACCGGACATGATTCACTTACTATTGGAAGCAAGGAAAGAAATGGCTCAGAAGTCGGAAAAATCTGCAGTCCCAGGTAAGAGAGCTTTTGCGTACAACACATATCGATACATTTTTGGCAAAAATAATGTTTTTCAATTAAACTAATGCAATTACTATTAAAAAGGTATTGAAAAAGTGTAGTAAGCCTAGAATTACTTTAAAACCTTTTTTAGGACAAGTAGGACAAGTTTTTTTTAGTCATAATTTAAATAAGTTTAACCAGGTTGAATTAAAAAATTGTTTTTTCTACAAATCGTTTTTGTAACTTACGTTACTTTGCCAAAAATGTATCGATATTATAAATATTTTAGACATTTTTTAAAACAAAAATTGGATTATGCTATTTATATCAGTACAATACGATGACACATATTAAAGTTAAATTTCTCGTTATTTGAATAAAATTGTGGATTTTTATATACATGACACATAGAGGACAATAAGAATAAAAAAAAATTATTAAAAAACCTTTATAAAAGGTATATATTTAAAAAACCCCAACGGGCTAATTATACAAAACGTTTTCCGAATCCATATTCCATCATCAGTGTCTAGGAGTACATGAATGTAGCCACTTAATATATGGGTAAAAACCCGTTAACAAATAATTAGTTACAGTTGGATTAAAATATTTCTTATAATATGTTATGATGTTAAAGTTACCGTTGGATAAGGTAACATGGCGACATATGACTCCACGTTGAAGTTGCTTCCATACAGTCCTTGTAGACACACCGTCTCAGGACTAGCAACTTCAACGTGGAGTCATATGTCGCCATGTTACCTTATCCAACGGTAACTTTAAGATCATAACATATTATAAGAAATGTTGTAATCCAAATGTAACTAATTATTTGTTAACGGGTTTTTACCCATATATTTAGTGGCTACATTCATGTACTCCTAGACACTGATGATGGAATATGGATTCCGAAAACGTTTTGTATAATTAGCCCGTTGTGGTTTTAAATATATATCTTTTATCAAGGTTTTTTAATAAAAAAATTTTAATATATGGTATACAGCGAACTACAGGAACACAGATTCCTTGTGGACAATAAGAATGTTAGAATCGGCATAGATCAAAACTCTTAGACAAATTGATGGTAAGACTCTATGGGACAGAGCTAGACATATACGACGTAGATACGAAGTGGAGAACATCAAGAACTGGGTAAGAAATATAAGAGTATAATGGAACTATCATATAATCCGAATGACAACAAATAGCGAAGTAAAGACAACGAGAGACGGTTTACCAAGATTATCAGTAGGAAGACCACAAAAATGTTGGAACGACAACGGACTGGAGTCATATTGAAAAACTAACTAAAAAAGAATAAGAAAAAGAAGAAGGTTAAAACATATAATAAGAATAAATATTATAAATTTTAAAAATCATTTCAAAATAACCTCAAAATGTTCTATATTTTCCTACTCAATTTCCTAAACTCAAAATTATTTGCTATTAATATGTTTTCATCTTATTTTCTCTAAAATACTCATTAATTTTAAGTAAAAAAATAGTACTTATTTTAAAGCAGATAAATTAAAATAAAACAAAAGAAATAATTGTGTCTATTGCTACTGCGATCCAATGAAATATAATGGTACTGGTGTCCTGAGATTCGAATAATAATTGAAATTTACTTCGAGTCTAGCGCATGTTTCTTATTAAATTTTTAAAAACTATTAACTTATATACAAAAACTTATTGTACCTACTAACTGGTATCTTTATTTTAGGAAAAACTACTATTCAAAAATTAAGTAACATTGATATAGCCGCGCAAGCAATGCTGTACTATTTGGCTGGTTTTGATTCTGTTTCTACAACCATGTGCTTTATGGGTTATGAGTTGGCACTAAATCCGGATATACAAAAAAGGCTTAGAGCAGAAGTAGAAGAAACACTTAAAAAATGCAACGGAAAAGTGACATATGAGGAAATTGGCAATATGAAATATATGGATATGGTATTATCAGGTACGTTTTTTACATGATATATTTTTGACATTGTAGGTAAACTAATAAATAAAATAATGTATGGTTCAATGCTCTAATATATAGTCCGTCTTATATAGAAAAGGTGTCCAAAACGTTAAAAAATTAGTGCAGTTGACTGAACTCGGAAAAAGTGCAGCGTCTGAGACAATAGAGACAATAAAAAATGGCATAGATATGAGACATGGACCAGTTTCGGGTAGACCACGTAAGATTGCCGGAAACAATTTAAATGCTTTAGTGGCTTTAGGACGACAAAATCAGCGCCTAGCGTTTCGAAAATTAGTGAACCGATTTGGAAATCAATAAAGAATAAAAGTGTGCCCAGAAACTATCCGCTTGTCACTGAAAAGGCAAGGATACATATCAAGGAATCCAAAAAAGATCCCTACAATGACACCTCTGCAAAGGTAACGAAGAATAGATTTTTGTCAACGTTTACGAGAAGATAATTTTAACAATGTCTTTATATCTGATGAAAGTTGTTTCCAGCTTGGTGCAAATCATCTAAAAGTTCTATCAAAAGAAAATGTTACCGTTCAAATTTAAAAATTTCCCACTAAAATAATGGTTTGGGGAGCAATATCTCAGCGTGGTGCTACACCACTCTGTATAGTTAATAATACTGTTGATAGTACGAAATATTGTGACATCCTAAATGGTTTTCGTGATAGAAATAAATACCGTAAAATTATAATTCTGCTTTTTTCCGGATACTTTCTAGACGGACTAAACTTAACGAATAAAAAGCAGATGTCGAGATCATTTTTTTGTCAAATCCTGCCCAAGTACTTTCGCTTTCAGAGCATATTTAGAAGCATCTGAAATAAGCCAAGAAACGTTTTTAAGTGACAAAAATTAGTTAACTTCGAAAAACCTGAAAGTTGAAAGTTGGTAAAAAAAAATTATATAACGTTTTATACTTACTTCGTCAATAAGGTTGGCTATCCAGCACGTCAATGAATGTTTATATATATATATATATATATATATATATATATATATATATATATATATATATATATGTACATATATATATATATATATATATACATATATATATATATATATACATATATATATATATATATATATATATAAATATATATATATATATGCATATATATATATATATATAATATATATATATATATATATATATATATATATATATAATATATATATATTAAATACATCTACACCAAAATTATTACTAAATAAAGGAGAAACAGTATTAAAAATTATTTCAAAGCTACATTGTGGCAACGGCAGAAGACAGAATGGCTCCTGGTCCAAGGTTGGACCAGGAGCGAAATTTGGCGAAAATTATTGTCCTCCCTAAATTGAACATTAAAATATCCTAGAAATCCCTAGATTGGAATACATGTATATATGGTTGCCTAATTCTTAATAAAATGATGGGATGTATTAATGGTTGCCTAATATAATAACATGGATATAAAAAAATAATTGGTGTTTTTATCTTTATTTTAAAAACATATTTTTAAACGGCACAATAGCGATGATTTGAATAAATTTAACAAAAACGGAATAACGTACTTATTTATGGCTTTGAATATTTCATTTAATATATTATTATGTATTATTCACTTAAAAAATTAATACAAAATACAATTTAGAGAAATGAGACGGTCAAGCAGAGAATTTTATTTATATATTTCCATGAATCCTGTAATTCACCGGATATCTACTGTAAATTATTTATTTTATAAAACCTAGGATTTTTGTAAATACCCTAATTCCTGCAACAGAGTTGGCTTCTCCTTGCTGAAAATAACATCGAGCAAAAAGACAAAAGAGGGAATCTAATCGTTATGAAAAGGAGACCATAAAAGTGGCCTCTGATGGCCGGAAATTCAAAGGCGCTAAATTTAAATTTTTCCACACTTATTAACAATAGCTATAAAATATTTTTCAGACGAGAAAGTTTAATTAAATATTAACGATAATGGTCTAAAATGTGACAAAATTGGTAAAAAACTTCAATATAAATAAAATTTCATGTGACTGCTGGGACAAACAATAATACAACCAAACTAAATTTGATTTCTTAAACAAGAAAAGAGACTGTCTTTCCTTGTTTAAAGTGGCCTCTCAAGATGGCACTTCCTGTCTAACAAGATTTTTGTCCCCACTACTAATCTATTTGTTTTTGGTAGCATAAAATAAAGATTCCAAGAACGTGAACATTTAGCGACATCTGATAATAGAATCCTTAAGTAAGTAGTTTACCAGTAGTTTACTTATTTGTAATGAAAGATCGCTTATTAAATACTATTAATACGAAGTGGTTTTATACCTTAATTAAAGAAAATTATATTATAATAGGCCTATGTAGATTGAGCCGGTCAAAAATCCCTAGATTTTACACTAAATATAAAAAAAAATCCCTTTGTCGCTTTTATACTGAAATATCCTTAGATTCAGGATAAATCCCTAGACCTAGCAGCCTTGTCCTGGTCTTAACGGAAAGTTATAGTGACATTTGACATATGAGAACTTGACGTGAGATGGGCAGTGACAATTCTATGGTAAACTGACCCACAGAATAATAAACAATCAGAATGTCCACTCTGCTTGGAAAGATAAATGCGCGCATCTCGTTCGCGCATACGGAATCTGCTATGTTTTAAACGGAACCAGTGCTGTTACGTCAAGTGCCATCTCCGCGGCGGAGGTCAGCAATCATCATAGCTATTTGCACTTTTGAGACGGCTGCTCAAAATTCAATTTGAATTGAATTGTTTGAATAGGTAAATACTTCAATGCACTTAGGTATATCGACAACTCGAGAAGATCCACTAAGGTTGCCTGGCATAATGATATTATAAAATAAATGACTATCTAAATGTTTGAAATATTTGTAATCCAAATACTTTACTGTATATGTAGAAGGGAATTTTCTGTCGTCTTTACAGATTGTAATATAATCGATTCAATGCCGGAGTGCATTGAGTCGGCTTCCATTAGTGTGTGACTTTCTAAGAACTTTTGTTCAATTATTACATTTTTCCTAGATGCAATATGCACAAGCGCATTAGATAGTGTACAGCAACGGTTCTGGTACGAACAGCCGTCCTGTACAAAACAATTTTTTCCTTTCTCTCAGGTAAGGGCAGGTTTGATAAAAGGTAAAGTCCGCTTTACTGACGTTCCAATTTCCACTTCGGAAATCGTTCTCAAAATACAAACATTACTTTTGCCTGGTTTTTTCTTTGGACGTTTTATCTACCAACGTTTGTATTTTGAGAACGATTTCCGAAGTGGAAATTGAAACGTCAATAAACTAACTTTAACCTTTAATTGAAGCTTATTCCCATTTAAATAGTAATTACTTTAAAATTCCACAAGAAAATAGCTTTAGAACAATATTAAGATTTCTGTTTTTTGAAGTACTGTTTTAGGTACTCTATAATAACAATAAAATTTTACTTTATTTTGGTAGACAACTATAAGATACCTGTTAAAAGACACATGATAATTTAATAATTATATTGGTCTTAGATTTAATTTTTACGTAATTACTTATGTGTGTAAATAAATAATTAAATTTTTTTGTTACGCCTCTGCAAAATTGATCGGTGGAATATGATTTCTTTAAAAAGTTATCGTTAAGAGCTTCATTAAGTGCGATGTTGCCAAGTAATCACCTTCAATTAAAAATTGTTTTAATATAGTAGCGAAAATTTAAGTTGAGCTTTAAAAGGCGATTTAACTCTCCCACCTGAGCAAGTGGCCCGAACTCTCCCTACTCGTCCGGAACAAAGAAGTAAAATCGTCATGCTTTATGTACAGCAACCGCTAGCAACTTCTATGGCACATTTTTTACGATTTTTTTTTATTATTTTATTATTAAATTAATATATTAATTAAATGCTAAATTATTAGTACAGTAAAACCTCCTTTAACCAAAACCTTTTTAACCGAAACATTGTTTAACCGAAACGGCTGACAGTCAATAATTTTGTCAATAAAAAGTAAATTTTTATCGCAAAACGTAAATTCCATTAATTTCACTCACCGATTGATGCCTACGTATGTTATGAAATAAAAAAAACAAGAGAGATGTTTGAGAAAAAGCACTTCCAGTTTTTTATAGAAGCCAAAAAAGCTGATGGATGTCGACCACTTTATTTTCAGACTGGTTCGAAAATGAATTCGCCCCAAGCGTAAAATCCTCTTTAAAATAAAAAAAACCTTGCCATCAAAGCATTGTTACTTGTTGACTCAAAATCTATACAATAGTGATAATTGTCAGATTTTTGCCACCGAATGCCACGAGCTCAATTCAGCCGTTAGACCAGGGAGTAATAGAGACATTCGAGAGACATTATAGAGGAGCATTCTTAAGAAAATTGTTATTACAGGAGACAAATGAATCCAAAAGTGTTCCAGAAATCCTCAAATGTTCAACAATAAAACATGTTGTTTATCGGTGTGCTGAGTTCTGGGCCAAGATCAAATCTTCAACTTTGGAAAAATGCTCCAACTAACTTTTTGATAGGATTTTGATTGACGATCCTGAAGGAGAAAATGCTAAAGAAACGGCAGAAGAAATTAAACCTTTAATAAAAAAATTGCAGGAATCTGACGAAATTAACTAAGAAGAGATACGTGAGTGGTTAGAAGCCGATGACTCAGAAAGTGAATTCATCGACAAGGACATCATTGATATGGTTCTTCATCCAAACAACCTGAGTGTATCAGACGACGAAGATGACGACCCAACAGACAACAGGCAGCATGAGACCACCGACGAGATTTTCAATGCCTTAAGGATCAGAATTTTATATAGTAGGCCTAATTAGTTAGGGACACGACTAGGTTCTTAATTTTTGTTTTCACTGTATAAAGTTCACTGTATAAAGAATTGTCCTTTTCAGATTGCCTTACGTTTCGTCGAACTATGAAATGAGGCAAACTCACGACATTCTGCAAATGAACGATGGAGATATATAGCTGCAAAACATCTTTTACAAACGATAACGTAAAAGAAAATAAAAGATTTCATTTTATTACTTTATTCTGTATTTACTTAGAAAACATTACGAAATCACCTCATAGTATTTTTTGATTCCAATACTTTAACCAAGAATACTATAAAACACAATGTTATTTTTAACCGAAATTCTTGTTATCCGAAACGGCCTCCCCCCCCCCCCCCAATTATTTCGGTTAACGGAGGTTTTACTGTATATAAATTCATTTATATACCTACTATCTGTCTGTAATTTTTATTATGTTTTTTGTTTTTTACTTTCAAAAGACCAGATGTTCTTAAATCTTATATAAGACGCATTATGTGTCTTTAGTTACTATTCTTTCTGTAATTTTTATAAATTTTTCAGAAACCCTACGAAAATGGTCAGTTCCAGCTCCAGTAGACCGAGTTTGCACCAAGCCATACACGATTCCACCAGTAACTCCTGACGAGAAGCCTATCCACTTGCAGAAGGGTTCGGTAATCTGGTTCCCCTCCTTCGCATTTCATCGTGATCCTAATATTTACTCTAACCCAGAACAATTCGATCCAGAACGGTTCAATGACGAAAACAAAGATAAAATAAATCCTTGTGCTTACCTTCCGTTTGGAGTTGGGCCTAGGAGTTGTATAGGGCTTAGATTTGGTCGTTTGGAAATTAAAGTAGTATTTATTTACCTTTTAGCGAATTTTGAACTAAAACCATGTGCTAAAACTCAAATTCCTATAAAACTTGCTAAAAACCAGTTTGGTCTAGCTTATGTTAATAATTTCTGGGTAAATTTAAAAAGAGTGCAAAGTAAATTATGTTGATTATATAATATATACGATTTTTAATGCAATATTTATTTATTAAAAATTTAAATTTAAACTATGGTTTTAGTTTTATATGCAATATTCCTAAAATGAACCACTAAAAAAATCTACAGCGCTGACGAGCTGCTCATGTAAATTGCAGATACCTTACTGCATTAAACTGTTAAATGTGTTAACGGTTTAAATCAGTTTTGATGTGACAGAGAGGTACCTCATGATCAAAATAAGCCTACACTTACCTGGACAAAGCCTGATAATATAAATGCATTTGAAGAACACATCAACAAAGCCATAAAAATACAGATCTAAATGTCAACTAGGTTTATAGGAAATGAAAAATGAAACTAGGTTTATAGGAAATCTATTTGTAGAAGATACACTGTCAAAAAAAATAATATAACGAAGAATATACAGTTGCTGCTCAATTTATTAGACTCGCTTAGCAAATTCTAGTTTTCTATGTTTTATCATCAATTACATTTTTTTTTATTTATTAACGCTGTAACCACCAGGGTTATTAGCGACCTAAATGTATAATTTTTTTCCTTTTCTTCCCTTTCCATGTTCTTATATCTGTTAAACCAAAATACTTGACAACATTCCAGTAGAGTATACAAATAAAAATTTAAAACTTAATATTTAATAGTAACAATAATATACCTGATTATAAAAATGAAATCTATAAAATGTTTTAGTTAATTTTACTATATAATTGTAGCTAACCCATATTTACATACCGATATTGTACTTACTTCAAATTGATTTGCTTAAAGAGTTTATATAATAATGAACGACACATATTTTGGAAGATCTGAGCGGTTGTTAATTTCACTTAAAATTTTACCTAAAGTGAGCATTTCATTCTTGAAAAAGAAGCTGTGTACTATCTGTCGTATAGATGTTTTAACTCTTTCATCCATATGTTGCAAGAATATAAGATCGACCTTCAATATTTTTAGGACATTTTACTGCTCCAGTCTGCTTATATTCTTTAATTGTTCTAAATTCTATTGTTGTAAATAGTTGAATTCGCAACACCTAAAATTAGCACATTACTTTAGTAAGTCTTGATTTTAATAATAACTATTCTGTAAAACTAACCTGCTGCCTGTTGTATTTTTACTACCGTGGCTGTTATTTTTATTCTAGAATTATCAATTTTCATGTTTGTACATGTTTATAGTACATTATTTCTCATTTGATGATAAATGATCCAAATCTACTCGGCGTTTTTAAGGTGGAGAAGAATAATTACCACTAATACTTGGCATTGAATCCATATTGTTATCTTAATAACACTAATTCACTAAACTAAACACTAACTAACTAAAAATAACTGTTTTTTATATAAGTGCAAACGAAAAATCTAAAGATGTAAGAAATAACACGGAAAATTGTCGATATAAATTTTGAATTTTGAAATTTCACAAATGTCATTAATGTCACTATGTCATAATTTAGTGGAGTAAACTTGCCTGTCGTTGGACCAATTACAAACAAGCATTACCGCGCGTAAAATTTGAATTACTACTCCTGGTTAAAAAACAGACCATAGTCTGCCACAAACATTGTTGTTAACTCTTATCTGTAGATCTACGCATTTTCGAAATTATTTAGGATTTTCGGATATCGATCATATGTCTACGGATTTTTCAGCTGTAGCAATCAAGAATAAAATTCGGATTTTTTACTCTTAGCTTTTTATAAAAACAGAATTTTTACTCTTAGCTTTTTATAAAAATAGAAATTAATCAAATAATTAATTGACATCTATTCCTCTGTAATGCCGTGAAAAAGAACTCTACTTGTAGCCATCTAGCACATTATTGTAAGCTTATTACAATAATGTGCTAAGCAGGAGATTAATACAAAAATGGTAGTTATGGTAAGGCCACAGAATAATAAACAATCAGAATGCCCACTATTCATGGAAAATTAAATACGCGCATCTCCTTCGCGCAGACGTTCCGCCATGATTTAGAGGGAACCAGTGTTGTTTATGTGGTGTGCATAAAAAAATTAACCCGGTTTAATTGATTTACGGCAATCATTAACATTCTATACAATTATATTAACATTGTTAAAAATAATAACATAAATATAATATAATTAAACATAAATATAAACAATTACATAACCTCACAAATCATATGTCTGTGTCACAGAATAATAAACAAACAGAATGCCCACTCTCCACGGAAAATTAAGTACGCGCATCTCCTTCGAGCAGACGTTCCGCCATGTTTTACGAGGATTTTAAAGGGAACCAGTGTTGTTTATGTGGTGTGCATGGAAAAAAAAACCAGGTTTATTTGACTTACGGCAATCATAGACATACTATACAATTATATTAACAGTTTTAAATATAATAACATAAATATAATATAATTAAACATAAATGTAAACAATTGCATAACCTCACAAATCATATGTTTGTGTCCTCCTAAAACATGGCGCGCGTGCTGAAAAACTTCAAAGGCGGCATCTGAGAGTGGCCCTTCTGATTGTTTATTATTCTGTGTCTGTGTTATCTGTTTCCTTCTAAGACATGGCGCGCGTGCTGAAAAACTTCAAAGACGGCATCTGAGAGTGGACATTCTGATTGTTTATTATTCTGTGGTAAGGTAAAGGTAATGGATTTTGACAAGAGCTATGAGTCATTCCGATTTTTCATGAAACCTACATGTTTGATTGTTTGTCGGAAATTCATTGTCGGAAACCTACAACACAACAATTCCTACTTCTCAGTATTATTAGCTCAAGTATACTACTATTGCAGACTGCTTTTTTTGAAAAATGAAGAATTAGTCTAAATAGTGGAAGTGTATACTAAACCCATCAAATTTTTCCTGTATATTTAAAATATAATATTTGAGTATGTAGTTACAATTTAATATTATATTGTATAATATTATATTGTTTAGTAAATATTTGTATTATTCGCGTTGTTTATTTTAGCTAATATAGTTTTATTGTTCTATTATTGTTTTTTAATTCTTCGTTAGTTCTATTTAGTTTATTTAGTTATAGTTCTATTTTGAATGTTATTATTAGGGATGGTCAAAGTTTTCCATTTGTTCTATCAGATAATGCGTTGGTAAGCTTTTCTTAAATGAATATGATAAATGTTCTTTAAAAGTTAATATTTTTGGATAAGTAGGTTGATCACTAAAATATATTTATGAAATTATGTAAATATATATTCTTAATAACAAAAACATTTCAGTTAACATCCAGTTCAGTTTGACATGGCGTCGAAAATTAAATTCGCTTAGAAATTTATAGCATGTATAAAGCTTCTAATATATATAAAATATGTATTATATATAAAAAAATATATTTTATAAAAAAATTACAGTAATTTAGTTTATATCGGTAAGTTGATCCAAATGTAGGCAACCAACTTAAACTTTTTTTAGCATTTAGCTGGAGTTTTTTGAGAATATTTTTAATAAACGTTTAATATTTTCCAGTTATTTATTATTTTTTAAAAGTGATGATATTAATGATGAATAAGCAATATTTTAGAAGAAGAAACTCCAGCTAAGCTAAATCCTAACAAAAAGTTTATGTTGGTTGCCTTTATTTGGTGCAACCTAACGATATAAACTAAATTACCATATTTTTTTTATAAAATATATTTTTTTTATTGGGTTAATGCCTTGACAACTATGATCATTGGCATGGTACAGTCAGGTACCTAGTGTAGTGTGTGTGTGTGTGTGTGTGTGTGTGTGTGTGTGTGCGTGTGTGTTTGTGTGTGTAGAGTAATTGTCTTGATACTTAGCAAAGTCGACGTCATTTTCTTTGCTAAGAGACGCTAATTGTATCCGAACGTCTGCGGTCCCTCTGGTGAGTACCGATCGCACAAGGATAGAAATTATTTTCATTTATTAATTTTTCATAAACGAAAATTTCCACCCAGATGAGATTCGAACTCACGACCTTTAGGTTTAAAGGTAGGCGCTCTTACCACTGAGCCACAGAGGGGGTTAAAATATATTTTTTATATATAATAGAAACTTACTTTCTTTATACATGCAATAAATTTGTAAGTCATATTATAAGTTTGCAAAAGAGGACGACGAAATAGGTGAAATAACGGTGACGTAACAGGTGAATCCCCAGCGAATGCTAAGATTTCACACAATGACGTATAATATATAGACTCGGTGAACGCTTTAAAAAGTGTCCACAACATGAATACCTTTGTTATTGTTTATTGTTTTGATACGAAGATGCACGAAGTTCATGATTTCTTACGAAGCATCACGAAGTTGATCTTGTGTTTGAAAACATCATGGACGTATGAAAACATTTTCTCCATTTGGTGTGTTTACATATTTTATGTGACAAGCAAATTTTATTTTAAATTGTTGAGAGTTATTTACTTACTATTTTAGTAAAATGCCATACTATTTTATCAAAATAATTATTTCTCTTATAGACGGGAACAAAAAGAAAACATAAATATTGAATTTTAATTAAAAAAATTATTATTGTCATTAACATTTGAATGAGCACGCCGTTGTTCTGGTAAACATACCTTCAACCTTGAGCAGAGATCTTTCGGACACTTGATTATATAGCGAGAATAGGGGACTGCTTAGTCTATTATACTATACGTCATTGATTTAACATAACGATGCAGACAAAACATGTTCTAATTATAGATAAAAATGTCATTAATATGAAAAGTAAAATTTTATACGATCATAAAAAAGTATTGTCATCATCCGAGGAAGAGGATAAGGCTTAATAGATTAATTATTGCTTTTAATCGGTTAGATAGGTATTTGTTTTTTCTGTATTTTTTTTTATTTATATTTTTTATACCTGGTGTTTTATTTTTCTTGGAATATGAATGTTTCTGTTTAATATATATTTTGTCAAATAAATTTGTTGCATAAACAAGTATGTATTTAGTAAATTATTGAAACACCCTACACCTCGAGTCATGTAGCATACATTTTTCTCCATTTAAATTTTCAATTGAATTGATCCTGATCCCTCACTGTATGCAGTCAGCCATATGATACTAAAGGTCGATTC